ACACGGATGGTGCTGCGTACAAGAAGCTGTGCGATGTACATAGCGAACTGACTGCTGAACAGCAGCTCGTCCAGAATTTCAACCAGCAGCTAACTACGACTCAGGAACAGCTTGAATTTGTTGCACTGCACGTACAGCAGCAAGGCGGCATGGACGAGCTTGGTGTTGTCGCCAACTTGCAAGAAGTGTACCAAACAGCAATACAGCAGCGTGACCATCACCAGCAGCGGTCAGCGCAACTTCAGCAGCAAGTAGACAAACTGAGCGGCTGTAAGCAATTCTGTGGCCCATGCGTCGCGGCACTGGAGCCAGTCCTACAGCTTCATGGCATTGAGCGTCAGGTATACCACGGTGGTGCTTTCGTTGGTAACCACATCCACGAAGCCTTGAAACCCACCGTGGTCACTGCCATCACCTCCGCACATCTTTCGTCAGTCCAAACAAGGTGTCCTGACTTGTGTCCTGAGGCCACTAAAATTGCAGATAGATACGTAGCTCTCATGAACAGCTACGCAACGTGTCGAGCCAAGTTCAGCCACTGCAAACCAGTCGATGACGCTGACTTGGGTCAACTCCAACAAGACATCGAGAAATTCCTGGCCCTCTGCAGGAAGGAAGTAGTGTCCAGGAAATTCGGCCACATCACGCCGAAGTTGCACCTATTAGAAGAACACACAGTTCCCCTGATGAAACGAGTCCGCGTAGGATTGGGCCTCCTCGCAGAACAAGGTGCAGAGAGTCTCCACTCTTCACTGAATTCTCTGAACTTCAAGTACAAGTCTATTCCTCGAGAACTGCTGCGCCTCCAAACTGTTGCAGCACAGCACCTCCTGACGACGACGAACGAGGCGATAGCACTGCGTCCTGCGCCACGGAAGAGAAAGTCGCAGGAACAGTAGGTCGGCACGAGCTGGACAGCCAAACTGACAGAAGAAGTCCTCGGTAAGTGAGCAAACTAGTGTATAACTGTCTGTTCGCCAGCAGAGAACCTGTCAACATGATTGTGCTTCTTGTCCAAATAATTCTTGTTCACTCGTAGAATTTGAAAAATAGTTTGTCTCTTTTGCTAAACCGAAATATCGCTGATAAACCTAAGTGAATAAGAAAATCGATTAGGTACACTCTGATAAATTCATAACTCGCGCCGAATCTAACATAATCCTGCCAAACCGCGCGAAATGACGCCATATTTTTAAGTGGTGCTGCTGAAACACCCGTGCTGCCGAGCGCTTTGGAGACCAGTATGATCCTATTGCCAGCGACATTGTGCGGGACTCCTTCTATGTCGATGATCTTCTCAAGTCGCTACGTGACGTACAGCAGGCGATTCTTGCTCGAGTGGAGACTCAGGCCCTCTTGAAGCGTGGCGGGTTCACGCTACGTAAGTGGCTAAGCAACAGCCCAGAGGTCATGGCGTCTATTCCTGCTGAGGAGCGGGCCGCGGCAGAGTCCAGGTCAATTGCAGAGAGCCCCTCGCATCCTGAGGTGTCCCAGAAAGCCTTAGGTGTGAAGTGGATGGTCAAGGGGGACTACTTCACGTTCCACTACAAGGGATCATCTCCGACAGTGTTTACGAAGCGGTCAGTCTTGAGCCGCATGGCAACATTGTTCGACCCAAGGGGTCAGCTGTCGCCATTCACCATAAGGGCCAAGATAATGTTCCAAGAGTTATGTCTCTCTGGAATCGGCTGGGACGACACGCTGCCAGATGCTCATCTTGCTTCATGGAGCCGGTGGTTTAGTGAGTTCGACACTCTTTCTCACCTCAAGATCCGTCGCTGTTTCAAGGGAGATGATTGGGTCAACGACATCACCGTCCATGTGTTCACGGACGCTTCCGCATTGGCATATGCCGCAGCAGCTTATGTGCGAGTGGCGGAGAGTGATGGCGGAGCACGTGTCACGTTGATCATGGCAAAGGCGCGGCCGGCTCCCATCAAGCGGCGAACGATCCCTCAGCTTGAGCTGCAGGGTGCAGTACTCGGTGCACGCCTGGGTCAGTACGTCAGTGGAGCGGTTGGTGTTGGAACAGATGACGTCAACTATTGGACAGACTCGATGAACGTCCTCTACTGGGTTCGCTCGCTCAGTAGAAAGTTTAGGGTTGACGTCGGCAACCGCATTTCAGAAATCCAGCGTCTTTCGCGTCCTGCGCAGTGGCAGCATGTTCCCGGAAAGGAGAATCCCGCTGATCTTCCTACTCGTGGACTCTCTGCCCAGCAACTCGTGGAACGGGGAACGTGGTGGTCTGGGCCTCGATTCCTCTCCTTCGGTGCTGACCAGTGGCCAAAGAAAATGATTGCCGTGCCCTCCGTCCTTCCATGCATGCAAGTATCCAAGGTAGCTACTGCCATGGTCAGCCTACATGCAGTTGAGTGTCATCCTGCTGAGACTCGACTGGACCCCGGGAACTACTCTGCGTGGCCTCATCTCCTACGTGTAACAGCCTGGTGTCGCCGGTTTATCCACTGCCTCAGGTCAGCCCGCGCTGGAGAACAAGCTTATACCAGCACGGGGGAGGCCCCCGTGGTTGAAGTGAACTTGGGCAGCCAATGTTCTTCTCTTAATGTGCCGGAGCTTTCAGCAGCAGAGGTTGACAGTGCTGAGCAGTATTGGGTGGCGCGATCACAGAGAGACCAGTACCCAGACGTGTACCACACTCTGATGAACGGCAAGGAACTACCATCCTCATCCCCTCTTGTCAAGCTGCGGCCGTTCCTGGACAGCAGCGCTGAAGTCCCGGTGTTACGAGTTGGCGGGAGACTGAGGACGGCTCATCATCTGGCCAGTGAGTTTCGGTGTCCCTTGATATTACCTCAGAAGCATCGGGTGACGGAATTGGTCATTGCAGAAGAAGATCGGCAATGCTCACACTCGATTGGTACCAACCACCTGCTATCGAAGCTAGCTGACAAGTTCTGGATCGTAAAGGGGAGACAGACGGTAAAGCGGTATCGTCAGGCCTGTGTCGGCTGTAAACGTTTGTGGAACAAGCCGTACTCACCAGCGATGGGTCCGCTACCCAATTTCAGAACCGAAGGTCAGCTACTCGCCTTCTCACGTACAGCAGTCGACTTTGCTGGGCCGTTTTACGTAAAACGTGGCCGCGGACGTGTCCAGGAAAAGCGGTATGCAGCGATCTTCACATGCCTGCAAACCAGGGCTTGCCATTTCGAGGTAGTGTACTCCTTAGACACGGACGGTTTTAAAATGGCCCTGGTACGCTTCACCAAGCGCCGTGGAACCCCAACCATGATCCTCTCAGATAATGGGACGAATTTCGTCGGGACAGAGCGGGAGTTGCGTGAAGCTGTACAAAGTCTTGGTACTGGTGATGTCTCAGCAGCGTTGGCAGCCCAAGGGACACAGTGGGTTTTTAACCCCCCGAGGGCGCCTCACACTGGTGGTGTGTTTGAGCGGGTCGTTCGCTCATTGAAACAAGTACTGCAGACAGTCTTGTATAAAGCGGATCTTACCGATGAGGAACTGCATACTGCTCTTGTTCAGGCGGAAGGGTTACTCAACTCTAGGCCACTAACTGCGGTTTCTACTGATGCCGCGGACCCTCAGCCATTGACGCCTCACCATTTTCTGGTGGGACACGCTCGAGTCACGAGTCCACTGGAGGAACAGGCAGAGTTGGCTGAGCGAGCTCATCCTCATCGGCGTTTCGACATCATCCAGCATTTACTGAAGGTAGTTTGGAGGCGCTGGAAGAGAGAGGTTGTCTCACGGTTGAACCTGACTACCAAGTGGCAACGTGCTCAGAGGTCAGCTCAGGTTGGAGATGTTCTGCTATGCCTCGACGACCATCTTCCACGAGCAAAGTGGCCATTGGGAAGAGTGGAAGCCGTCTACCCAGGCAAGGACGGAGCGACACGTGTGGTGGATGTCAACATCCGGGGAAAAGTCTACCGTCGGCATGTTCGCTACCTTGTGCCTCTGGAAGTGGAGCCGTCGAGTGACCGAGTTAACAGCTTGGAGTCGGTCGTGAAGATGCGTGACCTGTGAAGTGAAACTCATCGCCCCGAGCTAAGTACTGAGTAACTGATTCTAATACCGAAGACGTTGGCTGATCAGTGATAATGAAATAAAATATCTGCTAGCCATATTTCATGCTGTGTGGTACTGTTAGAGCTATGGGTGATAGGAATCATGCTATGCGTGTTACAGCACGAGTGGGTTGCAAAGGTCTTCGATAGTTTCGGTCCTGATGAGCTAGTTCTATCGGAGGAAGTACACATTATGCTCTTTTGTTTTTCCTGGCAAGATGCTGGTGTGGCATATACTTGTTTTTGCCTTTTGTTTTTCGTTGTTTTTGTTTTTTGTTTTTTTTGCTCTTCTGGGTGTATGTAGTTTTCGCTCCCTGCTATTTGCATGTTTGCTCAAGGGGGAGGAATGTTGTGTATAGACTATCTGTTGTGTTTCATTGGTCTGTGTGGCCGAGTGACTCCCGCTTCTCATTCATGATGTTTGGCCTGTTCTCATCTCAAGTGTAGCTACCCCTGTGCTGTGCGGTTTTATTGATGATGGTAATATCATGCACGTGCCTGTTCGTGCCTAGCCTGCTCTTTTCAGTTTCCCGCCGTTGTAGGCAGCGCATGCGTAACAGCTGATTTACATTTTTGCTGTGATTTTTGTTAGGACAGGGTAGCTCTTGTGTTGGGTTTTTTTTTGGAACAAGAAGAAGTTTTTGTCTATGTTGAATTTTTGTGCGCTCCTTTGATCTTGTGAGAGTTGGGTCATTTTGGGCCATGCACGCAATTCGAAACACATGGACTGTGATTACATGTACATGCAACCCTTTATTTTAGGATAGATAGGCGCTATAGCGCTAGGCAACCACCTATTTGCAAAATATATATTCGAAATTATATAATTGCAAGCTGACATAGTTCTGAAACGAATCGAACGAAATTCCGCATCATAGTCAGACTGGGCAAGCATTCACTCCACTCGATACAGCATAACCGATACAAGCAGTTTAGTCAGCATCTTACCTGCTTTCTTCAAAGCCAGTAGAGAACTAGTCCAAAGATATAAGGAGACCGTAGAATGGATACAAATGCACAGATAGTTCAGCATGATGAGTTGTTTCTCCAGTCTAAGCACTTTACTTTCCACTCGTGAACATACAGGAGAGGCCATACGCCAACTTCTTCATGCCAAAGACAGCCACAACAATATTCCCAAAATTAATAGAGTCGCGACGACGCAGGTACTGAAGCAGATAGTATCCTCAACCAAAATGCACGACCCAATGCCAAGGCTAATATTTTAATTTTTATAAAAAGACGTCCAATACAGTGCATGCAGACAAGCAAAAGTTTCGATTCAAAAACTTGAAAAGACCACACGTACATGCATATACACCACTTGTACACAGTCACAGGACAGGTGTGAGGTGTCATGTACATGTACATACTACCAAGAGTACATGAAAACCAGAGCAGTGTGCAGCTCGGATGGGTTGCTGTCACGGCGAAATTCCGTGATTACATCATTTTAGTGATGTAGTGCGTACAAGCAGGATTCAAGCAGGTCTCTTTCTGCACAACTGCAGCTCAGTTGTACGCACTACGCCATTTCCCGCCTCAGATCTGGGCCAAATATGATGTAATCACGGAATTTCGCCGTGACAGACACTGGACACCCATAGCAGAAAAGGCCCCAAGCTGCACACTCTGGTTTTCATGTACTCTTGATACTACATAGTCATTCGTGCATCCCTACTGTCAGTAGGGACCTTTCGCACCCCGCTGACGGATACGAAACGAATGCTGATTCGTCACCTGGGTTCGAGGATTCGTCAGAGTCCCTGCGGAGAACTCGTTTTCACGAATGGAGGCCTCTTCATTCGTGGCACCAAGAGTACATAACTACACAGTTATGTACTCTTGGTGGCACGCTCCGAATCCGTCAGCTCAGCTACACATTTTATTTGGATAGGTACACATGTTTTGCAAGGTACACATTTTTCCCTTGATTCCATGATCCATGCACGTGTGCGTGTAAAAACCCGTACGCCAAGCTACCGGCGCCCGCGGCCGTATTCGTAGTTGCCATGCACATTTGCATGACGACTTGCGAAACCTGAAATCTGTTTTCAACGAAACGATTACGAGCCGAATCAAACTTTCGTTTCGCATTCGTTTCGTAGCAAATGCGAAAGGTCCCTAGTAGACCCAGGTGCTCGAAGTCCGTACACTTTTACAGTGTGTGTTTGCCGAGCTGAAACTCACACTAGCAATGATCACTTGCCAGAATCCTGCTCGTGGATGGAAGGTATCTTGTCCAAGTTTGTTCTGAGGCCAGGCTCGATTGAACCAGGCCATCTTTCGATCCGATCTGTTTCTCTGGAGTTCGCTGATTTTTCATATCAAATTTTGGTGTCGCAGAGGGTACTCTAAGTCCGTACTGATCAGAGGTGACTCGAAATACACACATATTTCTGCTAATTGCTAACTTGCAATCCCTCGGTTACGACGAAAGCACCGAAGGGATATGTTTGGCATGTGCCTCCACCAGTATTTCTTGCAAAAGCGTAGCTTGTTGCCGAAATGCAAGCTGTTTTTAGTCGGCTCAGAGAAGAAGCAGCTGCGCTGTGAAAACCGCGGGAAAACAGTGGTGGAGATGCCAGGAGTGTCAACCTTTCTGCAAGGATTGGTGGTTCTCTGTAAATTCTTCTCCTCTGGCCATTGTCAGCTCTAAGCTGGCTCTTGATGATTGAGTGAAGGTCTGTTTGACGCTGTGTCCGTTCGAAATCGATCTTGGCAAAGTTGATTTTTGCATGAAATGTAACCCAATTTGTATTTCGTATGGCCACTCGAAAACCCACTCGCGTGGTATGGGACTTCTGCTTATCGTAGATCCCTGAAAATTGCTACGCGAGGAGAACATACCACACTGTCCCCTCCATAAAATATTTGAGTCGAATACAATAACAGAACATGAAATTATGGGCGTACGAACTTAGGATACCATGTACGGACTTCCAGCACCTGGGTCTACTGAGTGATTCCCTCGGCCCTGCAGCCTGACATGACGTGACAGTCAGTGACGTGATCATGTTCAACCAGGCTGCAGACAGTATGTTCGATCGTGTAGGCCTATAGGCTTGAACAAGGAAAAAAATATTTTATAAGCTATTGGCACTTTGGCAGTACATGAACATGTATTGCAAACAGCGTGCAACATGCGCGGCGGAACTTGCTCATCTGCTGTAGTTATGGCTGTGTTGATAACTAAACAGAGGCGAATGAAAGTATTTCAGTGCACAGATATTTAGTACTCTGAAGTACATTTTGTTTACATCAATTATTTTAATAAAGTAATTGTTTTCTGCTACGAAATTACCATCTGCTATGATGGCAGGTGCACCGGTGGTGAGATTATGTGTCCTCTGAATGAGGAGTCCAGTGAACCACTGTTCGTTAGTGGCTGCTTCAGTCACTATTGATACTGTGGGAAATGTTATGGTAAGACTTTCATTGACCAGTTGTGATTGCATTTTTGAACCAACACGTGTTACTTGAATTTAGGAGACGAAAGTTTAAAACACACAGTAGCAACATTGCTAAGTGTCATTGGTCAGTCAACTATCACCCCCACCTCGTCTATTGATATCACCAAGAGTGCATAAACAGTGTTTATGCACTCTTGATATCACCCTTCTGATTTTCTTCACTTCATTTCCTTTGTATCCACTGATGGGAAAGGGTCAACAAAAGTTTATATTTCTGCTGCAGTGTACTTGCGATAAGGCACATGGTTCAGAGTATCAATTGCTACAGCTACTTGTGTATAGTTTTATCAAGGAGTCGTAGTATACATACCGTATTTTTCCGGTTGTAAGTCGACCTTTTATGGCTTAAAACAGAAGGAGAAAGGGTGGGGTCGACTTACAACCGGGATTCGACTTATAACCGGGAACTATCAGAATCTTACAAAAAATGACCTGCACTGCATGCACGAGTGCACCATGTTTACACATTTTTGCCAGTTTATTGGCCTTTTTCAAGGATTGGGACGTTATATCCTCCAATGAGGAATGTTTACATGATTTGTTGATGTGTTATTAGCAGGAGGTGGTTAGTAGTGCTTCTTTGGGTGAAAACTTTAAAACGCAGAATTGAGACCTCCAGATAGGGGGGTCGACTTATAACCGGGGTCGACTTACAACCGGTAAAATACGGTACACAGGGAGACAATACAGGATCAAAGTACCCAAAACGATGCGTGTTTCGACCCTGGATTTGGAAGTTTTACGTGATCCCTGGCCTAGGCAACTCGCGCTTACGATCACGATCTTGACCTGCTGACCCCAAGCTTGACCCAGACGAGCAATGTCATATGCATGGGGCAGATCCAGGAGGCGAAGGGAGCGGGGTGAACCACTTAAATTTCGCAAATGCACCACTGGAAACCATATGCATGTACCCGTACATGTATCAGCAGTTCTTGGGTACGTAGATCGTGTAGACTGCTTACACCACTTTGCACTACTCATACACTCACTGTAGAATCTATAAAATGTACATTCCATCCTGGAACTAAAATCTCTACAATGTAGCTGTGTGTGATTAAACTTTAGACTCTCATTATTTACATGATGTATTAGTTTGAGCACTGGAGCTATCAATCAACACAAACGACATAAAAAAAACCCGTGGCCGTCCGACATTGCGGTGGATAGATACGATTCGGCACGACCTGAAGGCAGCGGATCTCTCCGTGGAGAGCGCTCTCCAAGCTGCAGGAGATAGACTAACTTGGCTTGACACTGTTGACAGATGCGTCGACCCTGCTCCTGTCTAACAGGTTCAGGGAAGATGCGAGCTGTGTTTATTATTATTATTAGTTTGAGAGAGTTGAAGAACAGGGAGGTAAACAGGTGAACATAACAAAAGAGACGCAACCTAAGTGCGCATGATTGACGTACCATAGAAAGAGGGAAAGCCACTCTTGTCGAAATTGGCGGAAACATGGTAGGAGATTTCTGCAGAGTCAAGAAAACATGAATTAATGTGTCAGATCCTGTGCACTTGATCATACCTCTGCCAATAAATTATGCAATAAATAACTCCACTGTCGTTATGTCCATTGTACCTCAAGATAGGAGTCGCACGCTCTTGGGTAAATCCCATGTGTTTTCGCACTTTGTTTCACGTTTAGCGTCAGTGCAAGCTGTTCTAGGGCATGGGGTGCAAGTGTGAACATGGTGGAATGATTTGATTTTCAGTCTGCTCATGCCATCATGGGGCACACTGTAGTCTAGATTCTCTGTAGTTTGTAAAGCAATTCTGGCTATATGATGGTAGCTTTATGCATAACGCTCAGTATTTCAGCTACGTAGACTTGATGTCACAGGAGATCCCATGCATGTGCATGTGGTTTGACTACTTGTACCACTGTTGTACCGAAACTAGTACAAACTGGTACAGTCAAGCCAGTGTCAGGCTGTCAGTTTACCGGATGCCCCTGGTGCAACGGAATCCATGCCATGATGACATGATACCACTTCATACAGGGAGGCATGCACGACCCGCAATATGTATGTCAAATTGATCAGCATGACATCATGTTTGGTTCGACGCCTCAACATTTTCTTTATGTACCTGAACAAAGTATATTTATAGACATGCACGCACACACACACACACACACACACACACACACACACACACACACACACACGCGCGCGCGCGCACACTCATGTTTGCTCTTCTAGGTACATGTGTGTAATGTAGATCCATCACAATTATTGACATTGTACAAATGTGCTGTTCAAGATTTGCTGGTGCATCTCGCTTTTACATGTACTCCTGTGCTAGCATGCTGCGGGCAGTCCATGCTGTGAACTAGGCATAGGGTTGTATAGCGAGACCTGCAAAAAGCTTCCACACATGTGAAAGTCCATACGGTACTGTATTGAGCTCGCTTTGGACAGGTAAAACTGGACCCTGTGTACGGAATCTGTTCGGCTTGTTGCAATGAGCTGTCTATGGCTTGGGGGCATGATCGATTGGATGAATCCCGAGCAAGTTCGTTCCAAACGAGCGTGATCGGTTGGCCAAATCTGGAGTAGGTGTACTTGGAGTGCAATCCGAACACACCATGTGTAGCTGGAGTGGAAATGGACTTTGGCTTTATGACGGCTTCAAACGACCCACGTGCCCTTTGCTAGGTTACGACCAATCAGCAGCCTCGGAGAGCGGGCTTTGATATTCCATCAAAGCCCGCTGTCATTGACAACCTGTACGAGAAAACCATCAAAGCCCGCTGCCATTGGCAACTGTACGACAAAACCATCAAAGCCCTGATCATGCCCAATCTCAGTCTTTTCAAGGTGATCTGGCTATAAGAACAAGAAACCGATAGGGGTGGTGGTCGGGGATGCGGTGGCTCTCAACTTGTGGAGTTGGAAATCCAGCTCCAGCACCGCAGAACTCTCAGCAGTATGCAGCGTGAGCAAGGCGTGTATGGTGGAAGTGAAAATACTTCCGTGACTCTTCAGCCACGTCTGGCTCTTGACACGGAGTCCTGAGAACTTGTGGAGTTGGAAATCCAGCTCCAGCACCGCAGAACTCTCAGCAGTATGCAGCGTGAGCAAGGCGTGTATGGTGGAAGTGAAAATACTTCCGTGACTCTTCAGCCACGTCTGGCTCTTGACACGGAGTCCTGAGAACTTGTGGAGTTGGAAATCCAGCTCCAGCACCGCAGAACTCTCAGCAGTATGCAGCGTGAGCAAGGCGTGTATGGTGGAAGTGAAAATACTTCCGTGACTCTTCAGCCACGTCTGGCTCTTGACACGGAGTCCTGAGAACTTGTGGAGTTGGAAATCCAGCTCCAGCACCGCAGAACTCTCAGCAGTATGCAGCGTGAGCAAGGCGTGTATGGTGGAAGTGAAAATACTTCCGTGACTCTTCAGCCACGTCTGGCTCTTGACACGGAGTCCTGAGAAATTTCTCACGAAACAGGTTTTACTCTTGGTTTTACATTACTTTCCCTTTGCTGTAATCTCTGTGTGAAACTTACGAACGGGACGAAAACGACATGCACTTTAGACTTCAGGCTGCTCTGAAATCCCAAACGAAAGGCCGACATTGTCCACACTCGAGATCACCCAAAGAATGAAGCGAGTTTGATTGAAAATCAAAAAAAATGTTGGGGATCGTCTGAAGCATATTCAAGCGAGGTACAGTCGGGCTTGATGACTGATCAAAGCCCTCGGGCCCAGCCCTTGGGCCTACGGCCCTCGGGCTGGACCCTTGGGCTTTGATCAGCCATCAAGCCCTCTGTACCTCGCTTGATTATCTACTTTCATAGAATCTTCGTACGATATGTGTACCTTGTGTGTACTACACCCTTCCTTAGTTCGATTGGGCCAGTGTTGCTCGGACCACACTGCCTGCTTGCACTGAAACCAGATTTGCCAATCGATGACACCCCAGGTGAAGGATCTGGTAATAATAAACCCACGAGTCACTTCAAAAGTACACGCAGGCCTAGGGTTGGCCCGATTCTGCGCGTTTTTTGTGGAAAAATTGAAATGCAAAATGCGACCAAATCTTATCAAAATGCATATCGTCTTTTTTATGCTTTTCTAAAATTTTCTAAAAAAATCAATTTTTTAGCCAAACCGCGGAAAAAATGCGTTTGTTACCATGACAACAAAGCTTCATTTCGCCTTCCTGCAAGTTTCACGGCCTAAGTTGCGAAAGTTCGTGCGAAGTTTCTCACTTTGTGACGTGGAGCGAAAGTTTTCGCACGAACTTTGTGTTCTGCACATTTTCATTTCGCGTTCCCTGCAAGTTTCGCGGCCAAAGTTGCGAAAGTTCTTGCGAAGTTTCTCACTTCGTGACGTAGAGCGAAAAAACCCAGGAAAACCGCCCTTTTTCTGGGTCGAAACCGTGCAGAAACAGGCAAAATGCAAAAGTGGGGTAGACTTACCCCCAAAATGCAAAAAAATTGAAAACAGAATCTGGACATCCCTACGCAGGCCATTGCATAGCCCTAGATCTGCAATCACTGGGCTGCGAAATAGGGCAAGGCGCAAACTTGCCTCACGTGATCTGATTCCATTGAGCAGCACTGTACTGGAAGTGGGGACGCATACACTGCCTGCCCCCCCCCCCCCCCCACGCACACTCTGGTACAAGGTGCAATACCGTAGAAGCACGGATATGTTTCAAACTGCACTCGAAGCCGTAGACTACCGTCACATCAAATGTGACCCCCCCCCCCCCCCAATACTCAATACAACTCCTAGTGTATGCCATTGAAGCAGAGGTACGTTCCACTCTAAACTTACAACAGGCACATATCCACTGCCCCCCCCCCCCCCCCCCCCCCACTCCCGATTCACTAGTACGCACCACACACAATGACATTGAACCAGCAAGGCACCAAGACTGGTCAATACAAACTGCACCAGCCTCAGAAACAGGAATGCCATTCCATCCAACTATCTCCTTTCTTTGATCATCTCTCTAAACGGAAGCATGGAGTTGTACAGTCCAAGCGGTAGGTAGGCCCCAAGGCCCTGCACAATACAATGCCCGGAAGCTTTGTATTTTCCAACCAGCAAAGAGGCACATTCGCTGCCCCCCCCCCCCCACACACACATACACTTTACTGCTTCAGCTTGACCTTCACAATCCAGTAGTGCGGTTGAAGCATGCATACGTTTTAAACTGGACGTACAGCGGTTACGCTGTCACACCCAATCACCCTGCTCCCCAAGCCTTATAATCAGTGTTGTAAACTGCCGAGTGGTTTATAATAGGGGAAGCATACACGTTACGCTCCTTGCAAGCCCATGGGGTACAAGCAGCCATGCTGGCAACCGTGAGTTTCATGCGGGGAGCATCTCCTCAGCACACACAGACATACGCACAAGCACACTGCTATGACATAACGACCATGACACACACACACACACACACACACACACACACACACACACACACACACACACACACACACACACACACACACACACACACACACACACAAGATAGCAGCAGCAAGCGGCAACACGCGGCAACAAGCAGAACACTCGGATAGTTATTTTTTCAGACACATGCAAAATTGAATGTTGACCGTTGATGTCCACTGCATCACTGTAGCTGTTTGCAGCAGCAATAGCGCACATTCGGGTCAGTCCGATGCACGTCTGAAGGCAGAGGAAAATATCGCACACATACAGTAGAACATCGAATATCCGCACATCCACTATCCGGAAGATCTATTATCCATAATGGCCGGGACCTCCAAAAAATAGAAGCAATAAAAAGAGACGCACAACGCAAAACTTGAGTTCACCAGTGCACTCATATAGTGGATATACTGTAAAGGCCTTATATAACGTGCTAATTCTAACGAGTTAATGAGGAGAAATCTGTCGTTAAAATAGAAAACGTTACACAGAAATCGATACATATTGTTGCTATTGAGCGTTGAGAATGAGTGAGAATCGTTACGTTTGGTACACGTAAACCCATCAATTTTAGTAAATCGTTATGCAGCGCGTTAGAATAATGGCTTTTACAGTACCAGGTACGTGTTTGCTGCTAGCATGCCCATCGTCAATGCATGGTAGAACTAGTCTTATGCGCAATTTCAATGACGGAACTGGATCACATGCGTTTATGAGCCCTATGCTACAAACTTTTCTGTCGCTTTCTCATTATCCGAACATTCCCCCATCCGAGCAGCCCCTTCTGAACAGTATCTTCCCCGAAGGGTTTGGATATGATCAATCACACCCCTCTACCTCACAGTGTGAATTCCGAGCAACATGTTCTTGCAGCTTAGCATCCCTGACCCTGCTAAACCATAAAGTACAGTCAACCGATCAACATGTTCTTGCAGCTTAGCATCCCTGACCCTGCTAAACCATAAAGTACAGTCAACCGATCAACATGCCTGGCGTGTTGCCTCCTGTTTTACACAAAGTTTAAAGGGGGTGTGGGTTGGTACGGTGTACACCACAATCAAATGCAAAAGACTGCCGCCACTGTCACCTGTAACCATACTGGACTGACTGCGTACACTTCCATCCACCAGAATGTTTCAACTGGCTAGCATGTGTTGTGTGCAGAAATGCATGTATTGGCATGATCTCATTTTTCGGCGTGTACACTTATGGTGCTTCACAGATAGAGCAGATAGGTGGTACATAAAAAGTACTCTTGATAGAACAGATAGGTGGTACATTAATTTTTGTCATCTATACAAAGAAGTACTTCCTCCGCGTCATCAAAATTGTTGCAGTTGGACTAGTGATATAAAACAGTGATATAAAACAGGGTACCGGTATTACAAACCAGCAGTCGTACAACAGGTAAGGAATTGGACATGGATGATAGTCTTCAGTCTTGGGTGACCTGACAATTCTTTTTCCTGTGGATGGGAGCTGAAATATTTGAGCTAGACACCATTTCCTCGCTGATGTCGCTGCGAAGGTAGTTTCGACTAGCTGTGATCAGTCAGGCGTAACCACCTTCGCCTTTCTTTGGGTCATAACCAACACTAAACATACCCATAGCTGGTATTTGGCGGAACAGGGGTAAGCATGAGTTTGCCGAACAAGCTCCAGCGCTTGGATCACTTTGCGAGAAAATTGACGTGTGAGCAAAAAAGCATAGAAGAGTGATAAATCTAGGAGTCACATGTAGTGATGCACGTGCATGCACTGTACTAGTGATACTGAAAAGAGGGCACGCTGCTCGACGTGATCGGCTAAACTACAATGTGGTGGTGTTTTAGACGTGGATGTGAGGCCTGCCTGATGCTAGTTAGTACTGCTGCACACTTACCTGCATGACGTTGCGCGACCACACAGTTAAAATCAATGACGGGCATTGGGCATGCCATGGCTAAGAAAGTTCATTTCAAGATGGAGGCGATTCCGAAGCCAGCGCCGACCTCGCAACGATCTTGTATTCTTTGCCAACGTACTGAGTTGGCGGTGAAGTAGAATGTCAAGAACATCGTCAAGGCTATAGAGTGCCTGAGAATTTTTATCAAGCAGAATGCATGGAATAGGAAATCGCTTGGCGACTTCGGTGGGTTCGCTCAAGGAAATCGGATTATCCTTTTGGACGATGGTAGAAACAACTATTCCCACCACAGCCAAACTGGCCATGATATATCAGCCAGGGCAGGCGGCAAGCCTATCAGCTCTTGTCCTGTGGAGAAATTCAAAGCGTGTGAGACTAGGCGTGACCAATTTACAGCCTTCCTGGAAACTCTACGGAACAATATTATTTCGTCCATTGACATCAGCGATGGCCTTCAGGTCCATGTGAAACTCTCAATCCGACTGAATATAGTCCTGAGACGTTACTCTAGACTTCAAACTATCATCCTGTGCAATACTTTCCGTATGTTGTAGCTTCTGTTGTTATCAGTAACACCAAGAGTAGATACACAAAAGTGTGCAACTCCGGGATGGGTTGGCCCGCAGCGGAATTTTTTGTTGACGTAATCTTTTCGACGATGCATGCGCTGCGAGTCTTTTGGAAAGTTTTGCCTCGTGCACTTGGCCGGGCTTTACATTACAAAGTCAGTGCCCAGCACGTGCTCTCACACTGCTCTGGGGCAAAATGCGTGTTCTTCTGAAAAAAGGTGACGTCAACAAAACTTTCCGGTGGTATCTGCAGATTGTGCACAAGATCTGGAGTTGCGCACTCTTGTTTATCTACTCTTGGTAACACGTGACAAGTCACTTGTCAAACTGTGACAATTTCGATGACGAGGAGGAAGTATGTGGAGGAAAATACAGAACGGCATATACAAGAAATCGAGGAATAATGACATGCGCTGGGCTCCCACAGAATGAAATGGCTGCGTTATCCCCAGGAACCTCGTTTGAAGCACCATTCATAATATCACTTTTTGTGATGCGACGTGTGGCATGTGATACTTGCGGCAAGGAAATGCCTGTTGCATATAGTCGCATGCAGTCGCGAGGCCACTGCCGCAGAAGTTGACCACACCTGTCCGAATCACCGGGTCTGGAGTCACAAGGCTAATCAACCGTTCACATTGTCAAGCACTTCAGGTCCCACACTTCCTTCGAAAAAGTGAAGTTGAATGCAAGACTGATTCTTTGTTTTATCACCTGTACGTCTATATGGAATGGTACATTTGAACACTTTACAAGACTCACCCCATAACAAAAATGTTCTGTCCACTAATCAATGCCAATCCGCTCACACCTGCTTGCCGGTCCACATCAGAATGTATAGAGGATACTACATAGCCACGAGTAACAAAGTACATCTGTACAGGATAGAGAGCGTGCACGAAAGAAAGGAAAGAACATCATGGTCACGAGACAAACAACCTAACACACGCAACGTAAACGCAGAAATGTTGGGAACAAGAGACGTTAGAAGCAAATATCTTACGGGTGTGATTCAACAGCAGTGCTGTGAATATGATCCTACAACATACAAAACTGTTGAGCATACCAGAGGCGACCTGGGCAAGGAATGTTCAGTGCAAATCCAACCACTAGCTGGCAAGCGAAACCGGCCCGAATCACCGGGTATGGAGTCACAACGCTACCCAACCGTTCACATTGTCAAGCATTTTAGGTCCCCATACTTCCTTCGAAGGAGTGAGGTTGAATGCCGGACTGGTTCTTTGTTTCATCACCAAGCAACACCTGCCCAAATTACCAGGTACGGCAAACGCTCATCTCGTCAAGCATTTCAGGCCCTCACATTTGCAACTAAGGGAATTTGAATGCAAGACTGCTTCATCGCTCATAGCTTAGCAACACCTGCCTGAGTTATAGGCTGTCCAACCGTTGACAATGTCAAGCATTTCAGGTCCCCACACTTCCCTTGAAGGAGTGAGGTTGAATGCAAGAGTCATTGATCATTCACCACCAAGCAATACCTGCCCTAATCACCAGGTATGGAGTCACCAGGCTGTCCCGCCGTTCACATTATTAAGCAACACCTGTCCCAACAAATCCCTTGAGGGAGTGAGGTTGAATGTAAGACTGATTAATCATTCACAACCAAGCAACACCTGTCCAAATCACCGGCTGTGGACTCACACTGCCACCCAAATGTTCACAATGTCAAGCATATCAGGTCCCCACACTTCCCTTGAAGGAGTGAGGTTGAATACAAGACTGGTTGATCATTCAACACCCAGAAACCCCTGCCCGAATCACCGGGTATGGAGTGAAAAACTGCCCATCCGTTCTCATTGTCCGCAAGTTCACTAACCTCACATCCTCAGACATCTGTATGCAATGTTATTTACAAAGCTGAACGGCAGTTCAAAGTCAATTGCATCGTCATCATTGACTGTGAGGCAACACACAACCCACAAGAGTTGGAGTTGAGGGATATCCAGCAGTATAGTCCTACACTATCGAACCGGATCAGCAATGGTGATGTCACAAGCCTACGTACGCATCAACTTCAGCAAGAATTTCCAAGTCCACACATGTCCCTTCAAGGACAAACTATGAACGTAGGTCTTGTTCATTGCTCTTCGACCAGCCACACCTGCCCGAATCACCGGGTCTGGAGTCACAAGGCTAACCAACCGTTGACATTGTCAAGCATTTCAGGTCCCACACTTCCTTTGAAAGAGTGAAGTTGAATGCAAGACTGATTCTTTGTTTTATCACCAAGCACCACCTGCCCGAATCACCGGGTATGGAGTCACAAGGCCACCCAAACGTTCACAATGTCAAGCATGTCAGGTCCTCATATTTGCAACAAAGGAGTGAGTTTGAATGCAAGACCGAATCGCCTTTCATCCTCAAGCCACACCTGCCCGAATCATAGCCTGCCTAACCGTTCATATTGCCAAGCATTTCTGGTCCCTACACTTCCCTTGAAGGAGTGAGGTTGAATGCAAAGGTGATTGATCATTCACCACCAAGCAACACCAGGCCGAATGATAGCCTGCTCAACCGTCCACAATGTCAAGCATTTCAGATCCCAACACTTCCCATAGAGTGAGGTTGAATGTAATACTGATATCTCTTTCACTGCCACAAAACACACATCCCGAATCACCGGGCATGGAGTCGCTTGACAGAACCACATTATCAACCATTATCAGAGCCCCACACTTCCCTTGAAGGAGTGAGGTTGAATTAAAGACTGACTCATCTTTCACTGCCAAGTAACACACATGCCAAACCACCTGGTATGGAGTCAAAAAGCTGCCCCACGTTATCAAGCATAGTCAGAGCCCCACACTTCCCTTGAAGGAGTGAGGTTGAATGCAAGAATGACTTATGGTTCACTGCCAAGCAACACACATCCCAAACCACCGAGTATGGAGTCACAAGGCTGCCTCACTTTATTAAGTATAATAAGAGCCCCACACTTCCCTTGAAGGAGTGAGGTTGAATTAAAGCTGACTCATCTTTCACTGCCAAGCAACACACATCCCGAATCACCGGGTATGGAGTCACAAGGCTGCCCCACATGATCAAGCATAATCAGAGCCCCACACTTCCCTTGAAGGAGTGAGGTTGAATGCAAGACTGACTCATTCATCCGTTCACTGCAAAGCAACACACATGCCGAATCACCGGGTGTGGAGTCACAAGGCTGCCCCACATTATCAAGCATAATCATATCCCCACACTTCCCTTGAAGGAGTGAGGTTGAATGCAAGAATGACTTATGGTTCACTGCCAAGGAACGCCCATTCCGAATCACCGGGTATGGAGTCACAAGGTTGCCCCACGTTATCAAGCATAATCAGAGCCCCACACTTCCCTTGAAGGAGTGAGGTTGAATGCAAGAATGACTTATGGTTCACTGCCAAGGAACACCCATTCCGAATCACCGGGTATGGAGTCACAAGGTTGCCCCACGTTATCAAGCATAATCAGAGCCCCACACTTCCCTTGAAGGAGTGAGGTTGAATGCAAGACTGACTCATTCACCCGTTCACTGCCAAGCAACACACATGCCGAATCACCGGGTATGGAGTCACAAGGCTGGCTCACCGGGTATGGAGTCACAAGGCTGGCCCACATTATCAAGCATAATCAGAACCTCACACTTCCCTTGAAGGAGTGAGGTTGAATGCAAGAATGACTTATGGTTCATTGCCAAGCAACACACATTCCGAATCACCTGGTATGGAGTCACAAGGTTGCCCCACGTAGCCAAGCATAATCACAGCCCCACACTTCCCTTGAAGGAGTGAGGTTGAATGCAAGACTGACTCATTCATTCGTTCACTGCCAAGCAACATACGTCTCGAATCACCAGGTATGGAGTCACACGGCTGCCCCACATTATCAAGCATAATCAGAGGCCTACACCTTCCTTGGAGGAGTGAGGTTGAATGCCAGACTGATTCATCGCTCATCGCCAAGCAACACCTGCCCATATCATCGCCAGGCCAACCGTTCACAATAAAGTATTTCAGGTCCCACACTTTCCTTTACGGAGTGAGGTTGAATGCATGACTGACAGATGATTCAGCACCAAGTAACAACTGCCCGAATCACCGGGTATGATGGAGTTACAAAGTGGACAACCGTTCACATCGTCAAGCATTTCAAGTCCCTTTTGCTCCCCTGAAGGATTGACGTTGAATGCAAGACTGATTCTTTGTTCATCAAGTAACTCGGTATCTCATGCCCGAAGCACCAGGTATGGGATCACACTGCCACCCTAACATCCTAACCACAATGTCAAGCATTTCAGGTCCTCGCACTTGCAACAAAGGGGTGAGTTTGATTGCAAGACTGTTTCATCTCTCATCGCCAAGCAATACCTGCTCGAATAGAAGCCCGCCCATCCGTTCACATTGTCAAGCATTTAAGGTCCCCAACCTTCCCTTGAAGGAGTGAGGTGGAATGCATGACTGACTCATTCACTCGTTCACTGCCAAGCAACACACATGCCGAATCACCGGGTATGGAGTCACAAGGCTGCACCACATTATCAAGCATAATCAGAGCCCCACACTTCCCTTGAAGGAGGGAGGTTGAATGCAGGAATGCCTCACGGCTCACTGCCAAGCAACACACATCCCGAATCAACGGGTATGGATTCACAAGGCTGCCCCACATTATCAAGCATAATCAGAGCCCCACACTTCCCTTGAACCAGGAAGGTTCAATGCAAGACTGACTCGTCACTCACTGCCAAACAACACACATCCCGAATCACCGGGTATGGAGTCACAAGGCTGCCCCACATGATCAAGCATAATCAGAGCCCCACACTTCCCTTGAAGGAGTGAGGATGAATGCAAGACTGACTCATTCACTCGTCCACTGCCAAGCAACACACATGCCGAATCACCGGGTATGGAGTCACGAGGCTGCCCCACATTATCAAGCATAATCAGACCCCACACTTCCCTTGGAGTGAGGTTGAATGCAAGAATGACTCATGGTTCACTGCCAAACAACACACATGCCAAATCACCGGTATGGAGTCACAAGGTTGCCCCACATGATCAAGCATATTCAGAGCCCCACACTTCCCTTGAAGGAGTGAGGTTGGATGCAAGAATGACTCGCGGTTCACTGCCAAGCAACACACATCCCGAACCACCGGGTGTTGATTCACAAGGCTGCCCCACATTATCAAGCATAATCAGAGCCCCACACTTCCCTTGAAGGAGGTAGGTTGAATGCAAGACTGACTCGTCACTCACTGCCAAGCAACACACATCCCGAATCACCGGGTATGGAGTCACAAGGTTGCCCCACATGATCAAGCATAATCAGAGCCCCAAACAGCCCTTGAAGGAGTGGGGTTGGATGCACGAATGACTCACGGTTCACTACAAAGCAACACACATCCCGAAGCACCGGGTATGCAGTAAGAAGGCTGACCCATGTTATCAGGCATATCAGAGTCCCACACTTTCCTTGCAGGAGTGAGGTTGAATGCAAGCCTGACTCGTCATTCACTGCAAAGCCACACACATCCCGAAGCACCGGGTATGGAGTCACGAGACTGCCCCACAATATCAAGCATAATCAGAGCCCCACACTTCTCTTGAAGGAGTGAGGTTGAATGCAAGATTGACTCACTTACTTGTTCGCTGCCAAGCCACACATATCCCAAACCACCGGTTATGGAGTCAATAGGTTGCCCCACGTTATCAAGCGTATCAGAGCCTCACACTTCCCTTGAATGAGTGAGGTTGAATGCAAGACTGACTCGTCACTCACTGCCAAGCAACACACATCCCGAATCACCGGGCACGGAGTCGCTTGGCAGAACCACATTATCAAGCAGTATCAGAGCCCCACACTTCCATCGAAGGAGTGAGGTTGAATGCAAGACTGATTCATGGGTCAATGCCAAGCAACGCACATCCCGAATCACCGGGTATGGAGTCACAGGGTTGCCCCACATGATCAAGCAAAATCAGAGCCCCACACTTCCCTTGAACGAGTGAGTTTTATTGCAAGAATGACTCACGGTTCACTGCCAAGCAACACACATCCCGAATCACCGGTTAAGGATTCACAAGGCTGCAACACACATCCCATATCACAGAGTATGGAGTCACAAGGCTGCCTCACTTTATTCTAAAAGTATAATAAGAGCCCCACACTTCCCATGAAGGAGTGAGGTTGAATTAAAGCCTGACTCATCTTTCACTGCCAAGCAACACACATCCCGAATCAGTGAGTATGGAGTCACAAGGCTGCCCCACATGATCAAGCATAATCAGAGCCCCACACTTCCCTTGAAGGAGTGAGGTTGAATGGAAGCCTGGCTCATTCACTCGTTCACTGCCAAGCAACACACATGCCAAATCACCGGGTATGGAGTCACAAGGCTGCCCCACATTATCAAGCATAATCAGAACCCCACACTTCCCTTGAAGGAGCGAGGTTGAATGCAAGAATGACTCAGGGTTCACTGCCAAGCAACACACATCCCGAATCACCAGGTGTGGAGTCACAAGGTTGCCCCACATGATCAAGCATAATCAGAACCCCACACTTCCTCTGAAGGAGTGAGATTGAATGCAAGCCTGACTCATTGGTCACTGCCAAGCAACACACATCCCGAATCACCAGGTATGGATGGAGTCACAAGGTTGCCCCAAATGATTAAGAAAAATCAGAGCCCCACACTTCCCTTGAAGGAGTGAGGTTCATTGCAAGAATGACTCACGGTTCACTGCCAAGCAACACACATCTCGAATCACCGGGTATGGAATCACAAGGCTGCCCCACATTATCAAGCATAATCAGACCCCAAACTTCCCTTGAAGGGGTGAGGTTGAATTCAAGAATGACTCATGGTTCACTGCCAAGCAATACACATGCCGAATTACCGGGTATGGAGTCACAAGTTTGCCCCACATGATCAAGGATATTCAGAGCCCCACACTTCCCTTGAAGGAGTGAGGGTGGATGCAAGAATGACTCACGGTTCACTGCCAAGCAACACACATCCCGAATCACCAGGTGTGGAGTCACAAGGTTGCCCCACATGATCAAGCATAATCAGAACCCCACACTTCCTCTGAAGGAGTGAGATTGAATGCAAGCCTGACTCATTGGTCACTGCCAAGCAACACACATCCCGAATCACCAGGTATGGATGGAGTCACAAGGTTGCCCTAAATGATTAAGAGAAATCAGAGCCCCACACTTCCCTTGAAGGAGTGAGGTTCATTGCAAGAATGACTCCCGGTTCACTGCCAAGCAACACACATCTCGAATCACCGGGTTTGGAATCACAAGGCTGCCCCACATTATCAAGTCTAATCAGACCCCAAACTTCCCTTGAAGGAGTGAGGTTGAATTCAAGAATGACTCATGGTTCACTGCCAAGCAAGACACATGCCGAATTACCGGGTATGGAGTCACAAGGTTGCCCCACATGATCAAGGATATTCAGAGCCCCACACTTCCCTTGAAGGAGTGAGGTTGGATGCAAGAATGACACACGGTTCACTGCCAAGCAACACACATCCCGAATCACCGGGTATGGAGTCACAAGGCTGCCCCGCATTACCAAGCATAATCAAAGCCCCACACTTTCCTTGAAGGAGTGAGGTTAAATTCAAGACTGAACCTTTAACTCGTTCACTGCCAAGCAACACACATCCCGAATCACCGGTTATGGAGTTACAAGGCTGACCCATGTTATCAAGCATATCAGAGCCCCACACTTCCCTTGCAGAGTGAGGTTGAATGCAAGCCTGACTCCTCACTCACTGCAAAGCAACACACATCCCGAATCATCGGCACGGAGTCACGAGGCTGCCCCACAATATCCAGCATAATCAGAGCTCGACACTTCCCTTGAAGGAGTGAGGTTGAATGCAAGATTGACTCATTGACTCGTTCACTGCCAAGGACAACACATCTTGAATCACCGGTTATGGAGTCACAAGGCTGCCCCACATTATCAAGCATAATCAGAGCCCCACACTTCCCTTGAAGGAGTGAGGTTGAATGCAAGACTGACTCATGCGTCACCGGTATGGAGTCACAAGGTTGCCCCACATGATCAAGCTTATTCACAGCCCCACACTTCTCTTGAAGGAGTGAGGTTGGATGCAAGAATGACTCACGGTTCACTGCCAAGCAACACACATCCCGAATCACCGGATATGGAGTTCCAAGGCTGACCCATTTTATCAAGCATATCAGAGCCCCACACTTCCCTTGAAGGAGTGAGGTTGAATGCAAGAATGACTGATGGTTCACTGCCAAGCACACATGCCGAACCACCGGGTATGGAGTCACAAGGTTGCCCCACATGATCAAGCATAATCAGAGCCCCATACTTCCCTTGAAGGAGTGAGGTTGGATGCACGAATGACTCACGGTTCACTGCCAAGCAAGACACATCCCGAATCACCGGGTATGCAGTTCGAAGGCTGACCCATGTTATCAAGCATATCAGAGCCCCACGCTTCCCTTGACAGAGTGAGGTTGAATGCAAGCCTTACTCGTCATTCACTGCAAAGCAACACACATCCCGAATCACCGGGTATGGAGTCACAAGGCTGCCCCACAATATCAAGCATAATCAGAGCCCCATACTTCTCTTGAAGGAGTGAGGTTGAATGCAAGATTGACTCATTTACTTGTTTGCTGCCAAGCCACACATATCCCAAATCACCGGTTATGGAGTCACAAAGTTGCCCCACGTTATCAAGCATATCAGAGCCTCACACTTCCCTTGAAGGAGTGAGGTTGAATGCAAGACTTATTCGTCACTCACTGCCAAGCAACACACATCCCGAATCACCGGGCACGGAGTCGCTTGGCAGAACCACATTATCAAGCATTATCAGAGCCCCACACTTCCCTTGAAGGAGTGAGGTTGAATGCAAGACTGATTCATGGGTCAATGCCAAGCAACGCACATCCCGAATCACCGGGTATGGAGTCACAGGGTTGCCCCACATGATCAAGCAAAATCAGAGCCCCACACTTCCCTTGAAGGAGTGAGTTTTATTGCAAGAATGACTCACGGTTCACTGCCAAGCAACACACATCCCGAATCACCGGTTATGGAGTCACAAGGCGGCCCCACATTATCAAGCATAGTCAGAGCCCCACACTTCCCTTGAAGGAGTGAGGTTCATTGCAAGAATGACTCAGGGTTCACTGCCAAGCAACACATATCTCGAATCACCGGGTGTCGAGTCACAAGGCTGCCCCACATTATCAAGCATAATCAGACCCCACACTTCCCTTGAAGGAGTGAGGTTGAATGCAAGAATGACTCATGGTTCACTGCCAAGCAACACACATCCCGAATCACCGGGTATGGAGTCACAAGGCTGCCCCACATTATCAAGCATAATCAGAGCCCCACACTTCCCTTGAAGGAGTGAGGTTGAATGCAAGACTGACTCATGCATGGGTCACTGCCAAGCAACGCACATCCCGAATCACCGCGTACGGATTCACAAGGTTGCCCCACATGATCAAGCATAATCAGAGCCCCACACTTCCCTTGAAGGAGTGAGGTTGGATGCAAGAATGACTCGTCACTCACTGCCAAGCAACACACATCCCGAATCACCGGGTATGGAGTCACAAGGCTGCCCCACATGATCAAGCGAAATCAGAGCCCCACACTTCCCTTGAAGGAGTGAGGTTGAATGCAAGACTGACTCGTTACTCACTACCAAGCAACACACATCCCGAATCACCGGGCACGGAGTCGCTTGGCAGAACCACATTATCAAGCATTATCACAGCCCCACACTTCCCTTGAAGGAGTGAGGTTGAATGCAAGACTGACGCAACTTTCACTGCCAAGCAACACCCATGCCGAATCACCGGGTATGTGGAGTTACAAGGCTGCCCCACATTATCAAGCATAATCAGAGCCCCACACTTCCCTTGAAGTAGTGAGGTTGAATGCAAGACTGACTCATCGAATCGTTCACTGCCAAGCAACACACATCCCGAATCTTCGGTTATGGAGTTACATGGCTGGCCCAGGTTGTCAAGCATATCAGAGCCCCACACTTCCCTTGAAGGAGTGAGGTTGAACGCAGGACTCGCTCAATGCGAAGCAACACCCTAAACCACCGGGTTGGTAGTTACTAGGTGTGCCCCAACGTTTACAAGTTACTAGGACAAGGACTTTTACAATAGGGAACAACGACTTCCACGATTTCAAATAAACAAAGGCGACTTACCTTTTTTTGGCGCTCGATTTTTGGCTATCGGTTGTTGTCGACCTGATCTTTCTCTCCCGAATTAGGTCACACGCTACTAGGGTCGCATTGCTTGAGGAATGTCTTTCAACAGGCCTAATGTCGTTATTGGTAAACGTATCAAATTCTGCGATCCGTTCAAGCGGCAGCTATCTTTTGTATGGAAGCAGGCTCCAACTGAAACAAACAAAAGCGGACAGTTACTTTGATTGAAGAAAGCCCAGCTGCTAGGACTAGCAGGAGATGCAGTTCTCATAATAATGACGCGCATGCGTACTGAGTCGGTGTTGTATTATTATTTTCCTCTCGGCGCGAAAACCTGTTGAAAACAGTGCAAATCTACAGGACCGGTTGAAGCTGCAAGGTTACCGGTATCTATGACTATGAGTATGACTCCTGCTCAATGAAATCCAGTCGAATCGCGCCACTCAGGTTTGCGCCTTGCACTGAGTCTGTCCTTTTCGCCGCCCAGTGGCAGTGCAGTGTAGATCTACGGGTGCACGGAAAAAATTCAGGTTGGCGTGAGACTAGCTCGGCTAGAGACCGACCTTTCCGCATCCATAGGAGCGCAACCACACCTCAAGCCACGCAACGCCGTTAAAAATTTCCAAGTCCGAGAATTTGCTAACTCCCTATGGTGTAAATACGGAAAAGACGCAAGAAATTGCCTCCGAGTGTCAGTGGTGGCAATTGGTGCGGGCAAAGGCTAGAAGGAAAAATTAGACAACCCTTGCTATACTTTAGCACTGGTAAGTCCAGTCCGAGAAGTACCAAAATGCGCACGGCGATTTTCGAAGGGTCGATAGATGATGGGGTGTGCGAGTGCAGTGCTACCTATGAGAGGGTGGGTGTTCGAGTTGATGGTCAGGGCCTGGGTGACTTCGACCAGTGTACAAGTAGGTCCGAAGGTTTGCACACGAATTTCGTGTGCTCTCCTGCACTACTGAGTTTTCGATGATGATTTTGTAGCGGTGAAGTCTGGTACGACAGATTCAATGCCCTGGCGGGTGAATGGCTCGAGAGGTTCGTAAGCGCTGAGGTGAAGTAGGATGTGCAAAGGCGATTACCGTGTGTGAGGGTGAAGCAGTGTCAATTGTCTGCCGAAATCTCTGATCACAGCACAGGGGAACATCCTGGCCAAAGACTGCCATTGTGTGTCATTAAAGGGAGCTGGACATGAGAGCCGGACCTCGACCACGGTACAAGTAGGTCCGAAGGTTTGCACACGAATTTCGTGTGCTCTCCTGAATGGCTGAGTGTTTGGTGATGATTTTCTAGTGATGAAAATCTGATTCGATAGATCCAATGCCTTGGCGGGTGAAAGGCTCGAGAAGGTCGTTACCGTCGAGGCGAGGTAGGGTGTGCAAAGGCGATTCCCGTGGGCGAGGGGGAAAACGTGTCGATTGTCTGCCGAAATTTCTGATCACGGCACAGGGAGAGTCGTGGGCACGGAATACCATCGGGTCTCACTGAAGTGAGCGGGAGGCGTGAGATCTCGGCAATACCCAGGATTACGTGGACAAGGCTGAGCAGTGAGGATATGGGTAGCACTCACAAGGTTTGCATGTGAGTGTGCTCTCCAGAGGGTTTGATGTTCGTGGCTGTTTTCACTCTCAACGAACATGCGTCGAGTGGTGCATGGAGTTCGCGGCTGAATAGCTCGTACGGGTCAATGTGCTGACGGCTCGCAAGGTTCGATGTGATGATGTGAAGGCAGCGTCGGAAAAGGTTAGTTCCTGACCTGTGTGAGATGGAAAGCGTGTCGATTGTCGGGCGCAGAATCTAAGCAGGACGTTCGGAAAAGCAATCGCACAGACAGAGCGAGTGACTCGAAACCTATTCTTGCTTGGTGCAAAACGGAACACGCTGGCGAGACATGGTGGGGATAAAGAGAGTAGGGAAACGTCATTCAGAAAGTTTGCACATGAATTTCGAGTAACTCCCACGTTTGATTGAGATTTTGAGTGGCAGTGTTTCTCTGCATGGGAACGGAAGAGTGAGGATGCTGAGGCGAAATACCGATATCCCGTCGGGGTACGAGTGCACGGAAAGAAATTCTGGTTGGCGGGAGACTCAGCTAGAGACCGAGCTTTCCACACCCGTAGGAACGCCACCACAGCACACGCCACGCCACGCCGTCAAAAATGTCCAAGTCCGAGAATTTGCTAACTCCCTATGGTGTAAATACGGAAAAGACGCAAGAAATTGCCTCCGAGTGTCAGTGGTGGCAAGTGGTGCGGGCAAAGGCTAGAAGGAAAAATTAGACAACCCTTGCTATACTTTAGCACTGGTAAGTCCAGTCCGAGAAGTACCAAAATGCGCACGGCGATTTTCGAAGGGTCGATAGATGATGGGGTGTGCGAGTGCAGTGCTACCTATGAGAGGGTGGGTGTTCGAGTTGATGGTCAGGGCCTGGGTGACTTCGACCAGTGTACAAGTAGGTCCGAAGGTTTGCACACGAATTTCGTGTGCTCTCCTGCATGGCCGAGTTTTTGATGATGATTTTGTAGTGATGAAATCTGATTCGACAGATTCAATGCCTTGGCGGCTGAATGGCTCGAGAAGGTCGTTACCGTCGAGGTGACGTAGGGTGTGCAAAGGCGATTCCCATGTGTGAGGGGAAAAAAGTGTCGATTGTCTGCCGAAATTTCTGATCACGGCACAGGGGAAAGTCGTGGCCGCGGATTACGATCTGGTCTCGAAGTGAAGTGAAGTGAGCGGGAGGCGTGAGATCTCGGCAATGCCTAGGATTACGTGGACGAGGCTGAGCAGTGAGGATATGAATAGCACTCACCAGGTGTGCGTGTGAATCGAGTGTGCTCTCCAGAGGGTTTGATGTTGGAGGCTGTTTTCACTCTCGACGAACATGGGTGGAGTGGTGCAGGGAGTTAGCGGCTGATTTGCCCGTAAGGGGTTAGTGTGCTGACGGCTCGTAAGGTTCGATGTGATGACGTGAAAGTAGTGTCTGAAAAGTTTAGTTCCTGGGCTGCATGTGTGAGATGGAAAGCGTGTCAATTGTCGGGCGAAAAATCTGAGCAGGACAGACGGAAAAGCACAGACAGTGCGAAAGAGTCGACTCGAGGGCAAGTGACTTGAAGGCTATTCGTGTTTGTCACAACACGGAACACGCGGGCGAGGCATGATGGGGATAAAGAGAGTAGTGAAACGTCATTCAGAAAGTTTGCACATGAATTTCGAGTAACTCCCACGTTTGTTCGAGTGGCAGTGTTTCTCTGCATGAGAACGGAAGAGTGAGGATGCTGAGGCGAAATAACGATATCCCTTCGGGGTACGAGTGCAGGGAAAAATTTCAGGGTGGCGTGAGACTCGGCTAGAGATGGAGCTTTCCACACCCGTAGGAACGCCACCACACCACACGGAAAAGCCTTGCGCAATTAGTGCGATCGTGTCGGAGTGAAGTAGTGAGCTGAGCGCTACTTGGTCATTCTGTTGGTTTTGCTTTGACAGGCTTGCTACCATTTGCTCTTGAACAATTTCCGATTCTTTCGATTGTTTGAACATGTACGCGGTATGCGTGATATGAATAATGGAAGGTGAGAGTATTTTTGAACTAGAAGGTTTGCACATGAATTTCGTGTGACTCACGCGGTGGATTGACTTTGTTTGGTGGTTATGTTTCGCTGTCGCGGTGTGGACGGAACATTGTCGATGCTCTGACGAATTGTTCAACCCTGCCACACGGAAAGAGCCAAGTGCATAGAGTGCGATTGTGTCGGGGTGAATGATTGTGTTGACGGCTGTTGGGGATTATCTGATGGCTTTGGGTAGACAGTTGGTGAGAACAGCATTAGCCGTGGGTGCGCTAGTCCGTATTCGCCACACTACACGCGAAGCGTTGACGAGTTTGATGAAGTGACAACACTGTGTAATTTGACGGAGGTTTGTGGGGAATGTTGAACGCGCACTGAGCAACACGAGTGGCGTGCTGAAAGACGCTCAGTTGTCTTGCTTCGAACATCTTCCCAAATCTAAACTTACACAAACCTCAATTCGTGTGTTCCTTGGTGTATCGAGGCATTCGCGATCGAATTTCTCATGAGCAACAATGTCATCATACTCATGGGCGCAATCGCCGAAGGGCGAGTTTTTCGACAAATAATTAATTCCTGGATCTCCTTCAAGACTTAAGAGTCCTTGAAAGAAGGTAAGTTTTGCCACGACCAAAATGGCTGTGGCACGCACGAGGCAGTAGGCAGACACGTGAGCTCCCACTGCACTGTTATTTGCAACCCACCATGGAAAACATGTACCATGATGCATGGTATACCATGGGAAGAAACGCGTCTTTTCGCTCCTACAATTAATTATTTGTGTAGTCTCGCACCTTCACACTACATGCTGCAACAACACGTACTTTATGTTAGTGAAAAGTAGTGGTGCATGTTGGAACGTTTACCACCGTATCATGGGCAACTAACGATAGTAACGTGTTGTTACTTCGAAGTCATATGCAGATCTGCATGCAACCGCCAGTATTCCCATATCGGTGGTGGTGTAACGACTTTTACGTTACGGCCGTTATTACTAATCTATCTTCATTCAGGCTAGCTGGAACAGTCGGCGGCAAAAAATTGACCCATGAAATCATTTGAACGATTTCCTTAGGTATTTTTTATAATTGTTTTGTTAGGATTTTATTCACTGTGTGCATCTACTCAATCTCCGTTCGACCATGATTCAGTGCTCACATTCTAATCTCTCCTTCTTCGAGTGTTTGCAATGTCTCACAATGTTAGGGTACCGGGTAGTACTGGCGTGGTGATGCCGCCACTGAATTTCGTGACCGTGCGCTACGTTTTGGAAACTGAGGCTTTGTGACGAGCGAACAGCTTTTCGCTTACTAGTTCAAGCGACCGCTAACAGCTGTGAACACCAATCTTGTCAGGAGCACGGCACATCTTCCGGATAATAGTATCAGCGTTGTTATGGCCATGGCCTAACTCTCTTCACCTAGAGCTGTGGAATTCTACTCCCTCCACAGTCCCCCACCCGACGTCTAATGGCTAGTTTTGAATGTAGCTTTGGGTGGACATGCGAGTCCCTGTAACAGCAAGAGAAGTTGCTACAAACTTCACGGAACGTCTACAAGAACATTGTCATGGGTCCATGGACCAGAGCTGAACTCTGCTTGGTTACAACTGCCTCATAGCCAGCAATTTTGGAACAACAATTTCAGCCAATGGCTGCACACAGTGACAATTGGATGTAGTTCTTGTTTCTGCATGGAGTGGCTGCTGTTTGTCCATGGAGTGGCTGCTGTTTGTCCATGGAATGGCTGCTGTTTGGCCACAGAATGCCTGCTATTTTGCCACGGCATGCCTGCTGCTTGGACACGGAATGCCTGACATTTGGCCGCGGAATGCCTGACGTTTGGCCTCGGAATGCCTAACCTTTGCCCACGGAAAGCCTGACGTTTGGACACAGAATGGCTGCACGGTGGTTTCGGTACGCTTGGCACGTAAATACCTGCAAACATGTACCAGTGTCTCTGCAAGGAAACGGATGGAGTTCATGTCCACGGGTCACTTTGCTAGTGACTGAAAGGAGGTCAGTACTGTATTTTCTGGGTATTTTCCGCGGTGTTAGCCGCATCGGGGTCTAAGCCGCACTTTCCTTTTCGGGCCAAAATTTGTATCTTTTTTTGACATTCGGAGTATAAGACGCACGTCAGATTTTGAATTTTTGGCCATCCAAACTTGATGGGTACTAGTGCATACGAGACATTTAGCAATGGTTAAAAAGTTGAGAAGCACTACTGAAGTTCCAGCAAATGCTTCTTAGTTTGTCCCTCATGCGGAACTGACGGCATAGAGAGATCGTACAGCTGCAATGATGGATTTCTGTGCAACCGTTGCACCATCACCTACTCATACGGTGACCATGCTGCACTAGGCAGCACCGTTCAACTGCGCAACCCACAAGCAGTCAAATAAAAGCAGTCAATATGGCCCTAAAAAGATCTGAGGAGTGAAATATGCAGGAAATAATTATTATGCAGTAATATTTGACTGCTTAGGTATAGCGGAAATCAATGGGAGTCAATACTACAGTGCTGGAAACTGAAATCCGACCCGTGAGCGGTGCGGTGCGCTCACATCGCAAACACCCAACACGGGATAGTAAAACTACGATATTGAGACCGCTAGAATGCGAACGCATCGCTAGGGGGTCGGATTTCAGTTGCCAGCACTGTAAGAAAGTGATAAACATGCATATTGTTCATGGCACGCTGTATCACTGGTTGATCCATGGCCAGCATTTGGAGTCTAAGCTGCAGGGGCAATTTTTGAGTTATTTTCGGCGTTAAAAAAAGTGCGGCTAACACCCCGGAAAATACGGTCATCATGATGTGCTAGTAGCTACGTGGGTCGCACCTAACTGCTGCCTTATTCCCAACCTTTGGGAGACATTGTGCTTTCTGGCTGAGCCAGGACGCAGTGGCCATTGTTCATTACTTGTGTCTGCATACCGTACTCGCGCGATTAGTGCCCCTGGGGCACTATTTTTTCAATGTCCATCACAGAGGGGGCAGTATTCAAGAGAGGGCACTATTGTTTCATTGCTGGTACGTTTGCGTCATTCAGCATAAAACAGAAGAAAAACAAAGCCTAAAGTGTACTGTAAACGCTCACGACTCTACAGAAACGGGTACAAGACCTGCGATTTTGTTCCTGAAATCACCAGTGCAAAGCAATCCGTGGCCAAGAACATTAGCAAAAGAACACCAAACTTGCACATGGGCTTGGTTACAAGACCGGGGGGGGGGGGGGGGGATGTGGATTACTCTCCCTGATGAGGGAAAGATGCGGCTTGCACTCCGTGAAGAGGGGGGAGATGCGGTTTGCACTCCGTTAAAAAGCGGGGAGATGTGGATTGCACTCTGTGGAGAGGGGGAGGAAAATATGGCTTTCATTCCATAAAGAGGGGAGGGGGAGACATGCGGGTTGCACTCCGTAAGGAGGGGGGGGGGTCGCGGGGTTGCAGCGCGGGGTAAAGCAGTGACGTCAGACTTCGACACCTCTTGGCTTGCACCCCATAAGGGGGGGGGGGGGGCTGCGGCTTCCACCCTGTAAAATATAGTGATCTTCAGTATCCTTGGTCTTTCTTCTACTTGGTTATACTTCCTTTCAGAAGATTTACCGGCATACTTCTGGAAACGTTCTCCTCACCTCCAGAAGCGCCGTTCATATCAATATTCACAGCCACACTTGTTCCTGTATTGCCAGCTGCTACATTCTGTGATCCAATGGACATTCTACCAAGTGAGTATCCGCTGCTCCGAAAGAGATTTCGAATTGTTCAAAGTTCTACTATCGTTTTTTTAAATCCACTACAAATGAGCATCTCTGGAAGCTGATCCGGATTTTTGATATACAAACTTGAACTTGCATATTTTCAAGACCTTTGATATCCTTTCAAATGTGTGTGCGTGTGTGTTTGGGGAGGGGGGTGGGTGCTGTGAGCATTTGGTGTGTTTGGTGTGTGTATCCACTCTAGATTAGCAACCCGCTCTAATATGAAGTGTTACTTCACTGGGGCAGGACAGAATGCAGTTTTTCTGCACCTTGTCCTCACCCACTGACTGTATGTGTTTGGGCTGTGCATCCACTCTAATTCCTTTGAATGATTCCATGCCATTTCGGCGCCGTTAAGTTCAGCGCCAACCAGGTGTGCGCGACTGTTTATGTTCGCCGTGAACATGTTCGAACATAAATGCCGACCTCAGCACCACAGATCTAAGCGCCAATTTACTATACAATGTATGTATGAACATCGTCTGTTGTGACTATTACTGTACAAGTATCGACTTTGCGCTGTACTGTATCACGCTGTACTGTATCACGCTGAGCTGTACTGCGCTGTACCTGATCGCGCTGACCTTTATCGCGCTCTAAATTACCATGCCTTACTTTTCGCGCTGTAAATAATAATTATCGCGCCTTACTTTTTCGCGCTGAGTTGCTGGTGCTGTACTTTACCGCACTGATAGTCATGACGCTGAAGAAGATGGCGCTGTGAAATCAGGCACTGAAGTGCTGGCGCTGAAATGCATCGTGCTGAAATGGTCGCGCTAAAGTGGAAAGTCACCCTTTGAATTTCTCTCCCCTCTCTCAGGGAGACTCATGTGACCAGTTTTTGGCAGTGACTAAATACAAATGGGGGGGGGGGGGGGGGTGTGGATTGCTCTCCGTAAAGAGGGGGAGATGCGGCTTGCACTCCGTAAAGAGGGGGGGAGATGTGGATTGCACTCTGTAGAGAGGGGCGGGGGGGGGGGGGGGGGGTGTGCGGGGTTGCAGCGCGAGATCAAGCAGTGACGTCAACATTCGATGGCTTGTGTTTGGTGTTTGTATCCACTCTAGAGGATTACTTTCCATAAAGAGGGGGAGATGCGGCTTGCACTCTGTAAAGAGGGGGGGAGATGCGGTTTGCACTCTGTATAGGGGGGGGGGGGGGGGAGATGCGGTTTGCACTCCGTAAAAAGGGAGGGGGAAATATGGCTTTCATTCCGTAAGGGGGGGGGGGGGGGGGAGAGAAATGCGTCTTGCACTCTGTAAAGAGGGGGGTGGAGGGGTGCGCGGTTGCAGCTCGGGGTGAGGCAGTGACGTCGTGACTTTGACGGCCTCTTGGCTTGCACCCCATGAAGAGGGGGAGGGGGGGGGGGGGGTTGCGGCTTGCACCCTGTAAAATGCAGTGCTCTTCAGTGTCCTTGGTCTTTCTTCTACTTGGTTCTACTTCCTTTCAGAAGATCTACCGGCATACTTCTGGAAACGTTCTCCTCACCTCCAGAAGCGCCGTTCATATCAATATTCACAGCCATTCTTGTTCCTGTATTGCCAGCTGCTACATTCTGTGATCCAATGGAAATTCTACCAAGTGAGTATCCGCTACTCTGAAAGAGATTTCGAATAGTTCAAAGTTCTAATACCGTTTTTTTTTAAATCCACTACAAATGAGCATCTCTGGAAGCTGATCCGGATTTTTGATGCACGAATTTGAACTTGCATACTTTCAAGACCTTTGATATCCTCAGCTCAAATGCATGCACACACGTGTGTGTTTGGGGAGGGGAGGGGGTGCTGTATGTGTTTGGTGTGTGTATCCACTCTAGATTAGCAACCCGCTCTGATAAGAAATGTTATTTCACTGGAGCAAGAGAGAATGCAGTTTTTCTGCACCTTGTCCTCACCCACTTTGCAGTGTGGTGAGTCCGTATGTGCGACCATTCCCAAATGAATATGAAACAAGGATGTTGAGCCAATAATAATAATAACAATAACTAACTTGTAACTTCGTAACTTGTAGTTCCTTGGTCTTTCTCTTTTGTATAGATTAAACCTTGGCTCTCCATCTGAGTAAATAATAATAAGGCCAAAACAAAAAATAGGCTTGTTTCCGGTCGGCAACCCCTCGAAAAGGAGACTCGGTCGGCCGGAATGAAACTTTTTTTGTATATTTTATTTTGGTTCCTCAATTGTTGTGGTATTGATGGACAAGAGCACCTACACATGTACATTGTACATATATCACGGCAAGGATCAATGTCAAAGTTAGTTGACTGCGTACTGACTCACTGTTCTTGTACAGCATGTGATGTATTCCTGTTTTCGTACAACCTGAGAAATCAAGCAAACAGTTCGAGTCCTTCCAGCTCCGTTATTCTAGCTCGTATCGACCCCGGAGGTTTTCGAGCCGACAGCTGAGAATCTCTGCTACCTAGTAGGTGTTTTAATTGTGGAATTCGGTTGAGATTTGATTGAGTTATGACTCGTTGAGTGCACTTGCACACATGGCATTGCCACCGTTTGTATACATTTGGCACCAAAAAAAGTTTCAGAATTTGGGAAAAAGTGGCCCGGTCGGGCGACCGGAAACAAGGTCATTATTTGTTTGGGCCTAATAATAATTTTTTTGAAAGGATTGGGAGAAATTCAAATTCAAAGGATCAGTTGGGGAAGTGAACTGCCTGAAAAGAGAAAAAATCGCCAGACCCACCAGGGCTCTAACCCGGGACCTTGCTTGTCATGAGCAATGCTCTAACCACTGAGCTATGGGACCAGGCTCAACCTAGAAGGCGCTGACAAGTTTTTCACTCCAAAGGCAGCTCACAACACGTGAAACTGACCGTGGTTGATCCCCTGGGGGAGGGAGAAAGACCTAAGTGCCATCAGTATGTGTGGCACGTGTTGTGAGCTGCCTTTGGAGTGAAAACTTGTCGGCGCCTTCTAGGTTCAGCCTGGTCCCATAGCTCAGTGGTTAGAGCATTGCTCATGACAAGCAAGGTCCCGGGTTCGAGTCCTGGTGGGTCTGGCGATTTTTTCTCTTTTCAGGCAGTTCACTTCCCCAACTGATCCTTTGAATAATAAAAATAATAATATTAGTTACTCTTAACTAGTATCCATCTATTCCTTTCCTTTCTCTATTCCCAAGTCAACCCAGTGTTTCGAAGAGGGAGTCACCCGTTGTTCAATAACCAATGGAGCCATCTTTCCAATCCTAGATATTTCCTTTGAATGATTCTATGCCATTTCGGCGCCGTCAAGTTCAACGCCAACCATGAGCGCGACCGTTTCTGTTCGCCGTGAACATAAACGCCAAATTTTACAGCGCGACATATTTTAATGCTGTATACTTCAGGGCCAGCAGACTAGCGCCGAATATCATATCTCAGCGCCACCTAAATCAGCGCCATATATTTCAGCGCCAAATATGTCAGCGCGACAGGTCTCAGCGCCACAAATCTAAGCGCCATGTTTCTCAGCGCAAATTTATTATGCAATGTATGTATGAACATCGCCTGTTGTGACTATTACTGTACACGTATTGACTTTGCGCTGAACTGTATCACGCTGTACTGTATCGCTCTAAACCTTTTCGCGCTGTAAATTACCACGCCTTACGTTTTCGTGCTGAGTCGCTGGCGCTGTACTTTACCGCGCTGATAGTCATGGCGCTGAAGAAGCTGGCGCTGTGAAATCAGGCACTGAAGTGCAGGCGCTGAAATGCACCGCGCTGAAAATGTCGCGCCGAAGTGGCAAGTCACCCTTTGAATTTCTCTCCCCTCTCTCAGGGAGACCCATGTGACCAGTTTCTGGCAGTGAAGCTTAGTTTATATACAACGGAACGCTGACGGTACGGGACGTAAGGGCCTGTCTGGAATGCTAGGCTGAGCTGTAAAATCTTGTACGATTCGTACCACACGACCTGCTGCAGTCGTTGAGTCGTTGAACAGGGAACGGCACGAGTCATAAGGCACGGTCCGTGACGGGGTGACTTTCGGACCTAATTTCTCGTTTCTCGGGACTTCTTTTCAATTATTTCTCCTTGAAAGAAGCGGAATCAAGTCCACGATACCAGTTTTTCATGAAGACCAAAAAATTAGCCCTGAAAGTTGTGGCATCCAAATAATAGGCCCAGGAAATGATAGAATAGTTCATCTGTCATGCTCCTTAACTATCCCTAAATACAATAAATGACATGAGATCTTATCTTGCTAAAATTCAACTCAAGTCGTGCTGGCCATTCTGTGAGTTATCATGGGAAGCGCAGTGTTCGAAATGTTAAACATTTCCAATTAAGAATCGGGAGTAGTCGGCGCACTACGCCGTCTCCTGTTCACACTCAAATTGCAGCCGTTTTGTACGCTTGCGTCCCCGTCTACGGTATGAAAAGTTGAATCGATCCAACTCTTCCCTTCACTTCCCGATCTGTACGGTAGTACGGTTGCGTTCCCGTTCCTGGTGTTCATATTGGACGCCGTTAGACCGTCCCGTCGCTTCCCGTTGATTATTACATCGCGTCCCGTCGCGCCCCATCGAATGTGAACTAGGCTTGACTAAGTACAAATGGATGGAGGGAGGGGAGGGGAGGGGGGGGGGAGTGGACTACTCTCCGTAGAGAGAGAGGGGGGGGGGTGCGGCTTGCACTCTCTAAAGAGGGGGGGGGGGGTGCGGCTTGCACTCTCTAAAGAGGGGGGGGGGATGCGGTGTTGCAGCTCGGGGTGAAGCAGTGACGTCAGACTTCGACGGCTTCTCGGCTTACACCCCATAAAGAGTTGGGGGGGGGGGGGGGACTGCGGCTTGCACCCTGTAAAACACAGTGCTCTTCAGTGTCCTTGGTCTTTCTTCTACTTGGTTATACTTCCTTTCAGAAGATTTACCGGCATACCTCTGGAAACTTTCTCCTCATCTCCAGAAGCGCCGTTCATTTCAATATTCACAGCCATACTTGTTCCTGTATTGCCAGCTGCTACATTCTGGGATCCAATGGAAATTCTACCAAGTGAGTATCCGCTGGTCTGAAAGAGATTTCGAATAGTTCAAAGTTCTGCCACAGTTTTTTTTCAATCCACTACAAATGAGCATGTCTGGAAGCTGATCCGGATTTTGGATATACGAATTTGAACTTGCAAATTTTCAAGACCTTTGATATCCTCTCAAATGCATGCACACACGTGTGTGTTTGGGGAGGAGAGGGGGGGGGGGGGGGTGCTGTATGTGTTTGGTGTGTGTATCCACTCTAGATTAGCAACCCGCTCTAATATGAAGTGTTACTTCACTGGGGCAGGACAGAATGCAGTTTTTCTGAACCTTGTCCTCACCCACTGACTGCAGTGTGGTGAGCCCATATGTGCGATCATTCCCAAGTCAATATGAAACAAGGATGTTGAGCCAATAATAATATACTAATAGTTGCTCTTAACTAGTATCCATCTATTGCTTTCCTTTCTGTATTCCCAAGTCAACCCAGTGTTTTGTAGAGGGGTCACCCGTTGTTCAATGACCAATCGAGCCATCTTTCCAATCCTAGATAATTCCTTTGAATGGTTCCTTGCCATTTCGGCAAAGTCAAGTTCAGCGCCAACCAGGTGAGCGCGACCGTTTATGTTCGCCGTGAACTTAAACGCTGAAGGTTACAGCACAACATATTTCAGTGCTGTGTACTTCAGGGCCAGCAGACTAGCGCCATATATTTCAGCGCCAAATGTGTCAGCGCCGCACATCTCAGCGCTACAGATCTAAGCGCCAATTTATTATACAATGTATGCATGGACATTGCTTGTTGTGACTATGACTGTACAAGTATCGACTTTGCGCTGTACTGTATCACGCTGTACTTGATCACGCTGTACTGTATCGTGCTGTACTGTATCGCGCTGTACTTTATCGCGCTGAACTGTACTGTGCTGTACTTGATCGCGCCGTACTTGATCGCGCCGTACTTGATCGCGCCGTGCTTGATCGCGCCGTACTTGATCGCGCCGTACTTGATCGCGCCGTACTTGATCGCGCCGTACTTGATCGCGCCGTACTTGATCGCGCCGTACTTGATCGCGCCGTACTTGATCGCGCCGTACTTGATCGCGCCGTACTTGATCGCGCCGTACTTGATCGCGCCGTACTTGATCGCGCCGTACTTGATCGCGCCGTACTTGATCGCGCCGTACTTGATCGCGCCGTACTTGATCGCGCCGTACTTGATCGCGCCGTACTCGATCGCGCCGTACTCGATCGCGCCGTACTTGATCGCGCCGTACTTGATCGCGCCGTACTTGATCGCGCCGTACTTGATCGCGCCGTACTTGATCGCGCCGTACTTGATCGCGCCGTACTTGATCGCGCCGTACTTGATCGCGCCGTACTCGATCGCGCTGTAAATTATCGTGCCTTCCTTTTTCGCACTGAGTTGCTTGCGCAGTACTTTACCGCGCTGATAGTCATGGCGCTGTGAAATCAGGAACTGAAGTGCCGGCGCGGAAATGCATCGCGATGAAATGGTCGCGCTAAAGTGGCAAGTCACCCTTTGAATTTCTCTCCCCTCTCTCAAGGAGACCCTTGTGACCAGTTTCTGGCAGTGTCTAAGTACAAATGGGGGGGGGGGGGGGTACTCTCCGTAAAGAGGGGGTGGGGGGGGGGGTCCGCTCCGTAAAGAGGGGGAGATTCAGCTTGCACTCCGTAGAGAGGTGGGGGAGATGCGGTTTGCACTCAGTAAAAAGGCGGGGAGATGTGGATTGCACTCTGTAAAGAGGGGGGGGGGGGAGATGTGGCTTTCATTCCGTAAAGAGGAGGGGTGGGGGTGGATGCAGGGTTGCAGCTCGGGGTGAAGCAGTGATGTCAGACGTTGACGGCCTCTTGGCTAACACACCATAAAGAGAGGGGGGGGGGGCTGCGGCTTGCACCCTGTAAAATACAGTGCTTTTCAGTGTCTTTTTTTCTTTCTTCTGCTTGGTTCTACTTCCTTTCAGAAGATCCACCGGCATACCTCAGGAAACATTCTCCTCACCTCCAGAAGCGCCGTTCATATCAATATTCGCAGCCATCCTTGTTCCTGTATTGCCAGCTGCTACATTCTGTGATCCAATGGGCATTCTACCAAGTGAGTATCCGCTGCTCGGAGATTTCGGACTCCGTAAAGAGGGGGGGGGGGGGGAGATGCAGCTTGCACTCCGTAAAGAGAGGGGGGGGGTGGAGAGATCCGGCTTGCACTCCGTAAAAGGGGGGGGGAGATGCAGCTTGCACTTCGTAAAGAGAGAGGGGGGGGGGAGATGCATACTGTACATGTATGATAATCAAGAGTGAGTCTTGAATCAAGAGTGAGTCTTGAATCAAGACTCACTCTTGATTCAAGACTCACTCTTGATTCAAAATGTACTCACTCTTGATTCAAAATGTACTCACTCTTGATTCAAAATGTACTCACTCTTGATTCAAAATGTACTCACCCTTGATTCAAAATGTACTCACTCTTGATTCAAAATGTACTCACTCTTGATTCAAAATGTACTCACTCTTGATTCAAGAGTGAGTACATTTTCCGAGAGACTGACAGGAGTGTGCAACTGCTTGTACAATCTCTATTCAGTGCTGTGATGACGGTAGAGTTTCATATCACATCAGTAGGTTCAGCTTCAGTAGCTATATAGGTTATGTGGGAAAGCAGTGCAGAATGACCACCAGAGAGTTGTACCCGAAGTAGGGTGGCATACAACCCTGGAGCTGTTCAAAGGGTGCAAATAGTGTGTCCGGGTTTTGGTCACATGACGTGATGCTCTGCTGTTGTAGACCCCGTAGACTGGAGTTGCACAATCTGGGCTGTTATGTACTCTTCATGATAATAATTATGGTGTTGGCTCGTCAACCTCAGGACGCATGAATCTATCGTCCGTTGCTCGACTTCAAATTACCTTATGCAAGATGTAGAAGATCTTTGCATTTTTATCTGTCCATGCATGTTCGATCAATGAGCCGAATGGCCCCAAAATTCTGAGGTCCTCGGAAACAATCCACCATGGACGAGAACACTGACTTGCATTCTTCGTTCGGCCGGGCCGTCTATAATAATCTCTCCGTTATACAAAACGGAAATGTTTCATTTATGCGTGGGTGTGTTGGGGAGAGTTTTGTTTTGAAAAATATTGGTAGTCGAAACATCAATCCATTCTAGCTGTCAAGTCGATAAATTTTTCGTTGGGGGGGGGGGGGGATGGTCGTAACTAAACCTTTTCGTTCTGTGAAAATCATCGATAATGCCGGATGGCTTCATTGGACTATGCACTCTTGATGGTACAGAATGATTTGAGGTTGTAACTTGTAGGCTAGATTTGACTGTCCTTGAACAAGTAGCTTGATTACACTGAAACATCATTAGAGAGATTCTGATGCTTTCGTTGTGAACGCGTGTAGCTGCATTTGCACGTCAACACGTCACCCACGTTGCGCGTGTTGTGTTAGAATACACTCGGCGTGTATGTGAACTTGCACCTCTGCATACTCATGGGGACAGAACACACTACTCTATGTGCTTGCATTCATTTTCCAGCTATTGTTGAGTCTCGACAAGCAACATGTGCGCAACACAGGGAAATGCTCCACAAAGTACTGAATACACTCAGGCGTATGTGTGTGTGTGTGTGTGTGTGTGTGTATGTGTGTGTGTGTGTGCTTGTGTGTGTGTGTGTGTGTGTGTGTGTGTGTGTGTGTGTGCTTGTGTGTGTGTGTGTGTGTGTGTGTGTGTGTGTGTGTGTGCGTGCGTGTGTGGACTGTCATGATTTGTGTGGCTGGACCTTGGAGGGTTTCACCCACACAATGTCGTATGGCATGGCCATTCGGTGTGCATGTGATGCGCATCCTAATCTCTTGTGTGTGTCTATGTGTGTGTGTGCGTGTGTGCATGTGCATGAACGTGTGTGTGTGTGCAGATTGGCCAGGTTCACCGGCAGTGTTTTCGTGAAGTCCTGAAAAGAGGTCTTGTTTGCAGACAGCATGGGCACACAGCCTCGTCATGGACTTGGGGCGTCAATGGCTGCATATGGCAACTGCTAGTTTGTCTGAAAACTACATCTCACAACCTCAGTGGATCCAGCTTGCCCAGTATTGGAGAGACTCTGATGACCTTAGCCATCCAAAACCACCAAGCCAACTCAAGTTGAGAGTATTATGTTGTCTGAACCTGTCATAGTAAGTTCCGTCATCATAATAACTTGTCTGATCACAGAATCACTGCCTCGCCTAACAGCTATCATCGCATTCGGGAAAGAGCATTCCCAAAGGTGTGTTGGCGTGTGTTCCGTTGTCTGATGACTGTGTGTGCAGCAGCAAATAACACAGCAGCAGCAAAAAACACAGGTCAACTGTTCAGCTGCGTGAAATCATACCCTGCTGCAGCTGTTGACTTCATGTACAGCTGCAGTGATGTTTACATTCTAGTTTTTAAAGTGGCTGCTTTGTAGCACTTTCTGCAATGCTTACATGTTGTACTTGTAACACTGCTGCTGCTGCTGCTGCTGCTGCATGTTGTACTGAGCGGACGTATGCACTGGTACATCAATACTGTGTTACTTGCTATACTGGAAGTGCAGTGGTGCCAACCTATCATGAATATTCAGTGATTGGTATACTGTGGCACTGCCCTTGCCATCACTTATCTAGCCAACTTGCAGTGCAACGGTGCGGTTATTGCGCTTGTAGTATCGCACTGGTGTTGTTCTTCTCACCCCCCCCCCCCCCCCCGTCTGTCTGTCTCTCTCTCTTCTTGATCGATCGAGTGTGTGCAGCTGTGATTCTGTTCTTGCTTTGTTTATACCGTCATGATTGTGTTCTTTCTGTGTGTTTCTCTGCAGTCCCTGCCGTTCTTGTGTTGTGTGTGTGTGTGTATGGTGATGGGTGTGTCATCAGCTTAATGCATGGCTGACTAGCTACACTCCCCAGCATGCACTCTCATACTTGACTCTAAGGCAAAGTGACTGAGTAGCCATGGTAGCTGCTATCTTGTTAGACTGTGTCCTAGTACTTGTGTTCTTGGCATGATAGGTAGAAATTTGATTGATTGACTGTCATCAGGTGGAATCAGAGTTGCTGTTGAGTACTTTGCAAATGGTGCTAGGACTTGCTCAACTCTGATTGGCTGAGGGCAGTTGACTGATCATTTCAGGTGTGAAGTTCAGAGCCAGGATAGGCTATAAAAGTAATCATACCCTGCTGCAGCTGTTGACTTCATGTACAGCTGCAGTGATGTTTACATTCTAGTTTTTAAAGTGGCTGCTATGTAGCACTTTCTGCAATGCTTACATGTTGTACTTGTAACGCTGCTGCTGTATGTTGTACTGAGCGGACGTATGCACTGGTACATCAATACTGTGTTACTTGCTATACTGGAAGTGCAGTGGTGCCAACCTATCATGAATATTCAGTGATTGGTATACTGTGGCACTGCCCTTGCCATCACTTATCTAGCCAACTTGCAGTGCAACGGTGCGGTTATTGCGCTTGTAGTATCGCACTGGTGTTGTTCTTCTCACCCCCCCCCCCCCCCCCGTCTGTCTGTCTCTCTCTCTTCTTTATCGATCGAGTGTGTGCAGCTGTGATTCTGTTCTTGCTTTGTTTATACCGTCATGATTGTGTTCTTTCTGTGTGTTTCTCTGCAGTCCCTGCCGTTCTTGTGTTGTGTGTGTGTGTATGGTGATGGGTGTGTCATCAGCTTAATGCATGGCTGACTAGCTACACTCCCCAGCATGCACTCTCATACTTGACTCTAAGGCAAAGTGACTGAGTAGCCATGGTAGCTGCTCTTGTTAGACTGTGTGCTAGTACTTGTGTTCTTGGCATGATAGGTAGAAATTTGATTGATTGACTGTCATCAGGTGGAATCAGAGTTGCTGTTGAGTACTTTGCAAATGGTGCTAGGACTTGCTCAACTCTGATTGGCTGAGGGCAGTTGACTGATCATTTCAGGTGTGAAGTTCAGAGCCAGAATTTTACATTTTTCTTCTTGGCTTGAACTCTTGTTGTTTCTGCATGAGGAGACACTGATGGCCTCTGAACTCTTGTTGTTTCTGCATGAGGGTAGAATTTTCCAAGAAGAAAACACTTGCTGAGCTCTGATTGGCTGAGGGCGATTGACTGGTCATTTCAGGTGTGAAAATCAGAGCCAGGATAGGCTATAAAACTAAAAGTAATCATTCCAGGAGGGGATGGTGGTCGGGGTTTGGGATGGCAGAATTTTACATTGTTCTTCTCCTGTAGAATTTCCCGTCTTCTTTCTCCTTCCTCATGCACATGAGGAAACAACAAGAGATCAGCCATCAGCAAGCCAAGTAGCTGAAGACAAACCCATCACCACACAAACAGAACACAAGAAAAGCAGGGACTGCAAAGAAACATACAAAAAGAACACAATGTCATTTTACATTGTTCTTCTCCTGTAGAATTTCCCGTCTTCTTTCTCCTTCCTCATGCACATGAGGAAACAACAAGAGATCAGCCATCAGCAAGCCAAGTAGCTGAAGACAAACCCATCACCACACAAACAGAACACAAGAAAAGCAGGGACTGCAAAGAAACATACAAAAAGAACACAATGTCATTTTACATTGTTCTTCTCCTGTAGAATTTCCCGTCTTCTTTCTCCTTCCTCATGCACATGAGGAAACAACAAGAGATCAGCCATCAGCAAGCCAAGTAGCTGAAGACAAACCCATCACCACACAAACAGAACACAAGAAAAGCAGGGACTGCAAAGAAACATACAAAAAGAACACAATGTCATTTTAAATTTCTTCTCCTGTAGAATTTCCTGGCTTCTTTCTCCTTCCTCATGCAGAAACAACAAGAGTTCATTCAGCGAGCCATCAGCAAGCCAACTAGCTGGTGACATACCCATCACCACACAACAGAACACAACAACAGCAGGGACTGCAAACAAACACAAAAATAACACATTTCAGACTTTTCTTCCCGTCTTCTTTCTCCTTCCTCTTGCACATGAGGAAACAACAACAAGAGTTCAGCCATCAGCAAGCCAAGTAGCTGAAGACACACACCCATCACCACACAAACAGAACACAAGAACGGCAGGGACTGCAAACAAACATACAAAAAGAACACAATCATGACGGTATAAACAAAGCCAGAACAGAATCACAGCTGCACACCCCATCACCACACAAACAGAACACAAGAACGGCAGGGACTGCAAACAAACATACAAAAAGAACACAATCATGACGGTATAAACAAAGCCAGAACAGAATCACAGCTACACACCTCAGACCTGCCCATCTCGGAAGCAATGATAGCGAACAGCTATGTTAGACATAGCAACTTGTGCTGGGATTACACCTTTCAATAGCTTGCAAGGCTGATGAATTGACCGCCACTATTTTTAGCCCCCACACACACACGCGCGCGCGCGCGCACACACACACAGAAAGAGGGGGGGGGGGAAGACGCGCGCGTGCGCGCGCGCGCACACCTCAGACCTCAGACATGCCCATCGCGGGAGCGATGATAGCGAACAGCTATGTTAGACATAGCAACTTGTGCTGGGATTACACCATTCAACAGCTTGCAAGGCTGATGAATTGACCGCCACTATTTGTAGCCTGGTATCCACCACACAGCTGTTTGAAGTGACTTTTTCTGGCCAGTGAATCCCTATTTTTCATTTTTTTCTTTTTTTTCTACACACACACCACACCACATACTCCGGCATACACTGGCTGTTGGTAACCACCCAGGAGAATGAAAGAAAAGTCAGGAAGAGTCTGAGAAAGAGAAGAAAGACGTGTGTGACCATAATCGTCGGGAATCGAACCCGCAACCTATCGATTGGAAATCGCTGCACATACCACTGCACCATATGGGACACACACCACACACACACACACACACACACACACACACACACACACACACACACACACACACACACACACACACACACACACACACACACACACACACACACACACACACACACACACACACACACAATACTATTGAATTTTCTTCGCCGGCTTGTTGGCTGCCGTCCTTCTTCCTGCAGAAACAGACACACAACATGGACATGCAGAGAAGTCATGCACTGTGAATCTCCTGTACAGACACCGCAGCTATATATCCATACCGTTACACGTTACAAGACCAAATTGAATTCAAGGAAAGAATCTGTCCCTCCAGAAACTCGAGGAGAAATTTCAGAAATATCGCGGAAAACGTTGCGAGGTAAAATGCCACAAATTGCGAGGAATATTGCGGGGAATATTGCGGGGTCTGTGAAAAATTGCAGCAAAGTATTACTGTGGTCAAATTGCGGAAATTTCCGGCAATTTTGGTACTTGTAGCGTGGTACGAGTGGTACAGCATAAATCATGCAGACAAATCAGAACGTGTGCTTCGCTGAAGACAAGTGAGTTACAGTACTATAAGTACTCGACTGTCTGCAACTGCCTGACACGAGCTTGCAAGACGGCTTTTCTCCATCCTCGGAGAACACTTGACAAGTTCGTTAAGTGCTTTCGCAGTTTTCCCTGTTATTACCTTAGTGCTAGGATTATCATTTTCATAGGTGTTGTTTCTTCTCACTCCATTTCTCTTTATTAGTATCTTTCTGGATTGTTTTTCATTAGTACAACGTAGCTTCCTGAGGAGTGTCGTGCGAAAACTAGTTCGAAGTACGATTTTTTGTTCATCATTTCTTCCATATCACATTTTTTCTTTCTTCCATGTTCTTCACTGCCTTCGTGGCCACTCGTTTTTTGAATACAATAAAAGCCTTTGTGAAATGTCGGTTCAGCTCGTTCTGTTGATCGCAATTCTAAAATCATTATTATTATTTTCACTAGTTTGAGGGAAAGAGACAAACGGGAAAAGTCTGAAGAAAAAATTGACTGTCACCATCAGGACTCGAACCAGGGACCCTCGCTTGTAGCTAGCGATGCTCTAACCACTGAGCTATGGTGTATTATTATTATTATTATTATTATTATTATTATTATTATTATTGGCTCGACATCCTTGTTTCATATTGACTTGGGAATGATCGCACATATGGGCTCACCACACTGCATGCAGTCAGTGGGTGAGGACAAGGTGCATAAAAACTGCATTCTGTCCTGCCCCAGTGAAGTAACACTTCATATTAGAGCGAGTTGCTAATCTAGAGTGGACACACACACCAAACACATACAGCACCCCCCCCCCCCCCCCCCTTACCAAACACACACGCACACACATTTGAGAGGATATCAAAGGTCTTAAAAATATGCAAGTTCAAAATCGTATATCAAAAATCCGGATCACCTTCCAGAGATGCTGCTTTGTAGTGGATCTAAAAAATAAACAATAGTAGAACTTTGAACTATTCAAAATCTCTTTCGGAGCAGCGGATACTCACTTGGTAGAATGTCCAGTGGATCACAGAATGTAGCAGTTGGCAATACAGGAACAAGTATGGCTGTGATTATTGAAATGAACGGCGCTTCTGGAGGCGAGGAGAACGTTTCCAGAGGTATGTCGGTAGATATTCTGAAAGGAAGTATAACCAAGTAGAAGAAAGACCAAGGATACTGAAGAGCACTGTATTTTACAGGGCGCAAGACGCAGCCCCCCCCCCCTCTTTATGGGGTGCGAGCTAAGAGGCTGTCGAGGTCTGATGTCATTGCTTCACCCCGAGCTGCAACCCAGCACCCCCTCTTTACGGAGAGTAATCCACACCTCCCCCCCCATTTGTAATTAGTCACTGCCAGAAACTGGTCACATGGGTACCATGGGTCTCCCTGAGAGAGGGGAGAGAAATTCAAAGGCTGACTTGCCACTCCAGTGCGACCGTTTCAGCGCGATGCATTTCAGCGCCAGCACTTCAGTGCCTGATTTCACAGCGCCAGCTTCTTCAGCGCCATGACTATCAGCGCGGTAAAGTACAGCGCCAGCAACTCAGCGCGAAAAAGTAAGGCACGATAATTGTTATTTACAGCGCGAAAAAGTTCAGCGCAATAAAGTACAGCGCGATCAAGTAACAACGCGATCAAGTAACAACGTGATCAAGTAACAACGTGATCAAGTACAGCACAGTACACTGCAGAGTGGGTAAGGACAAGGTTCAGAAAAACTGCATTCTGCAGTGTCCAATGAAGTAACACTTCATTTTAGAGCGGGTTGCTAATCTAGAGTGGACACACACACCAAACACATACAGCACTCCCCCCCCCCCTTACCAAACACACACGCACACACATTTGAGAGGATATCAAAGGTCTTAAAAATATGCAAGTTCAAAATCGTATATCCCCGAGCTCTCTGCATCGCCCCGCCCCCCCCCCCCCCCCTTCCTGATGGAGTTCAAGCCGCACCCCCCCCCCCCCTTGACGGGGTGCAAGCCTCAACCCCCTTCTTTACGGAGTGAAAGCCACATCTCCCCCTTTTTACGGAGTGCAAATCGCATCCCCCCTTTTTGCGGAGTGCAAACCGCATCTCCCCCCCCCCTCTTCACGGGGTGCAATCTCCCCAAACTGCACCCCCCCCCCCCGCCGCTCTTTACAGAGTACCGTATTGTCCGGGGTATAAGCCGCACTTTTTTCGCTAAAAAATCGGACCAAAATCGCCCCTGCGGCTTATACACCGAATATGCTTGCGCGAATGAATGCTTAGCATACATCAGTATGCATGCTGACGTCATGTGACATGTCATTCGACTCAGCTTCGCGCCTGTGTTGCTATCCCGGCACTTTTACTAGTTTTAGTGCGCGGGCTACACCATACGGTACACATATACGGGGACTCTATTTTGCGTACTGCAAGTGCCGATTTCCACACATCCTAGTATACAGCGATACGATAATACCATGGAGTGATCTGTAGTCAACATGGAGTGATCTGTAGTCAACACAGCAATACACCAACATCTCTGCAGCAACCTGTGGTGCACTAACACTTCATAATCTGATCTAACACGGTATTTAGCTCCATAACCATAATAAATTTGTAGAAAGGCCATTTGTCAATGAGTGTGAAAAATCTTGGTTCGTAGGTGCGGCTTATACTCCGAATACCAACTTTTAGTCAATATTTTGCCTCAAAAAGGGGGGTGCGGCTTATACCCCGGTGCGGCTTATACCCCAGAAAATACGGTACAAGGCGCATCTCCCCCCCCCCACACTTTTTCGGGGTGCAAGCTGTATCTCCCCCCCCCCCCCCTCTTTACGGAGTGCAAGCCGCATCTCCCCCCCCCCCTCCCTTTATGGAGTGCACACCAGTATCACAGGATTCCACTTGATTCAGATGAACATTCAATCCACATCACTTGGTGGATGAACATTTGTCCAGTCAATTCAGGATTCCGCTTGGTACAGAGTGCGGTAAACACAGGCTTTACGGCAGGACGATACATGCACCATTAAAAGGCTATAGACCCCAAGAGTGTGCAACTGACATTGGCGTTGTGCTTGGAAGGCAAATTGCAGGCATGAAGTTTGTAGAAAGTGAGAATTAAACACCAGGCATTTGTGCTGATTTGTTCTTGTTTTGAAAGCCCGTGATTATTCACTTTAAATTGTAGAAGAGTAACACGATTGTGAACCAAGGTGTCAAATCTGCACTAGCAGCAGCAACAACATTACCAGCAGAAACAACAGCAGCAGAGTTTAGCTGCTGTTCTCTTTTCCATCTTGTGCTCTTCCTGCATTCATATACTTATTGGTTTGTGCTTTCATGAAAAACGTTTCGGCCGCAGCATGATCAGCAGCAGCGAATGTTGTTGAAACAACATTGGCATTTGTAGCATAACATGAGAAAGCGTTATTAACTTACCAGAGTAGATGGTCCTTGGCTTATAATGCCTGCCGATAGCAACTCATACTTCACATGAAGTAGACTCAGACTGAGTTACAGACAACCTAGCACAGGCGATATTCGTGAAGAAAAAGAAAATGTACATGTGCACACTTATATACATGCACCGTGACATATGAGAGGTGAAATGAAAAAGCCGACAGCCACACACATACACAGACAAACAAAAACAGGTACACACCTTTGCTCACACACACATTACACGAGCATGCACGTACACACACACACCATTTGACCATTTGACGCCCATCGCCAGAGGCGATGATAGCGAACCTACAGCAGAAGCCAGAGCAGCTTGTGCTGGGATTGCACCATTCAACAGCTTGCAAAGCTGAAGAATTGACTGCCACTATTCAGCCTGGTCTACACCACACAGCTATGAAGTGACTTTTGCTGGCCAGTGAATCCCTACTTTTTGGTCTTTTTCATTTTTTGTTTTGTTTCCCGCACACACATCACATCACACACACACACACACACACACACACACACACACACACACACACACGAAACCGCACACGTACACACACACGTTTGTACCTAGTCACTGCCAGAAACAGGTCACATGGGTCTCCCTGGGAGAGGGGAGAGAAATTCAAAGGATCATCTGGGATTGGAAAGATGGCTCGATTGGTCATGACAGTCGATCAATCATATTTCTACCTGTCATGCCAAGAACACAAGTACTAGCACACAGTCTAACAAGATAGCAGCTACCATGGCTACTCAGTCACTTTGCCTTCGAGTCAAGTATGAGAGTGCATGCTGGGGAGTGTAGCTAGTCAGCCAAGCATTAGCTGATGACACACCCTTCACCATACACACACACACACACACACACACACACACACACACACACACACACACACACACACACACACACACAGAACAAAAGAACGGCAGGGACTGCAGAGAAACACACAGAAAGAACACAATCATGCATTGCAAGTTGGCTAGAGAAGTCAGGGTTCGCACCAAGTCATGAAAATATTATTCAAGGGTTTTCAAGGGCCCCAAACCCCATTTTTTCAAGGACATTCAAGGACATTAGTTGGTGGGTTAACCGTTGGTTGGAACATCGCCGCCATTATCACTCAGAGAGAAGACATCGCGCTCAGAAGAAGAGGTGTTCACGCTGCGTCCAAGAGTGAACTATTGTGCTCTTTGACCCTCCATAGTTCCTCTGAGAGAGTGCCTGGGAGATAGGTAGCTTGGAAATGGCCGTAGAACGTGCTTTCCTGGACGCAATATTCAGCCATTTCTATCGTCTTCTTCAACTTGATTTATTTCGAAAAAAATGTTATTTTTCAGGGTTTCTGCACTGGACGCGTTTGGGATCGAAAATCTCACCTGCGCAAACAGGCTGCGCAGCTCACGCGCTGAGATCCCTATCAGTACTACCAAGAGTAGATAAACAAGAGTGTGCAACTCGCGGATGGGTTGGCCCACGGCGGAATTTTTTGTTGACGTAATCTTTTCGACGACGCACGCGCTGCGAGCCTTTTGGAGAGGTTTCCCTCGTGCACTTGGCCGGACATGTCTGTGCCCAGCACGTGCTCTCACACTGCTCTGCGGCCAAGTCCGCGTTTCTCTGAAAAAAGGTGACGTCAACAAAAAATTCCGCCGTGGGCGGGGGTATCTGCAGATTGTGCAGAAGAGATCCGGAGTTGCACACTCTTGTTTATCTACTCTTGGTAGTACCAAGAGTGGATCCACTCTTGGTACTAGTGTCACTACTAGATCTACGGACTACGGTACCGGTTACGGGTACCCAGCAGTGCGCGTAGACCTACTGCATGAACGTGAGTAGATCTACCGCATTCAAACCCAAAATCAAGGAAAAACACACTTTTTTCAAAAATTCAAGCACCCACACGAAAATTCAAGGATATTCAAGCACTTTCAAATCCGGCTTTGACATTCAAGGACTTTCAAGGAATTCAAGGAGTGGTGCGGACCCTGAGAAGTGATGGCAAGGGCAGTGCCACAGTATACCAATCACTGAATATTCATGATAGGTTGGCACCACTGCACTTCCAGTATAGCAAGTAACACAGTATTGATGTACCAGTGCATACGTCCGCTCAGTACAACATGCAGCAGCAGCAGCAGCAGCAGCAGCAGCAGTGTTACAAGTACAACATGTAAGCATTGCAGAAAGTGCTACGTAGCAGCCACTTTAAAAACTACTTCCTCCGTTAACAAAAACTTCGTGATGGAATTTTGAGGGGCTGATTTGGGCACAAACTGCCGTGAAATGAGTCGCAATCACTTTCTTGGCCTTCCCTGGCATGCCATGACAGAGGTACGATGCAAGGAAAGCGACCTTTCAAAACAGCCGAGCGGAATCGATGGTTGCGCTGTGGAAACATAGGTGATGACAGTCATGGCGAGCGAAACTGAAATACCACTTCTCCGAGGGGATATTGCGCTGCTTGGCCTCTCTACCACTTTAGCACTGAGTACCTTGGAGAGTGATAGAGAGCGATAGAACGGAGCAGCGAGCCCACACAATGAGCGAGTGAACAAGGCCAAAGAGCTGCTCCGATCGCACGGCTCATTGAAAATAATTCTGAACTCAAGTTCTTGTTCAACCTGCGCAAAGCCCAGATTCGAATACTGATGACCATGCATTTTTCAGAAGTCTCCAGTCCGATGCGAGTCTCGTGGCTAAAGAAAGTCGACTTGACTTGCTAGCCGCTGCCGTTCAGTGCTGGTATCCATTAGAGAAAATAGAATCAGTTTGGCTGTGCCTTTACTCCTCGTTTTGCGGAGTTCTGGAGAGCGAAGATGAAACCAGGAGTCGTAAAATATTTTTCACGCCTCCCTGGTGGAAACGAGTAATCGCCATCGCGGCGGATCACGCAGCTTGAAAGCAAACTTACTTTAACGACGGCGACATCAAGCGGAGTGTGATCAAAGAAGCCGAGGCAAGGCTGAAACGAGCTGAACAACGATTCGAGAGAGATGACGACTCGCGTACAGCAGATGACGACTCGCGTGCAGCAGATGACGACAGCGACGCAGGTCAAAAAATTAATCGAGCGAAAGCGACGCAAACTGAACTCTCTGCTCATTCCGCCAACAGTTTCTCTTGTAACGACGCTGTACATAGGCTTAATCACCTTCGTCCAGTGATTTGTAGTCGATACAAACTGTTCTTGACCTGTTCTAAGCGTTTTCATATCCATCCAAATCCATCACGAAGTTTTTGTTAACGGAGGAAGTAGAATGTAAACATCACTGCAGCTGTACATGAAGTCAACAGCTGCAGCAGGGTACGATTTCACGCAGCTGAACAGTTGACTGTGTTTTTTGCTGCTGCACACACAGTCATCAGACAACGCAACACACGCCAACACACCTTTGGGAATGCTCTTTCCCGAAAGCGATGATAGCTGTTAAGCGAGACAGTGATTCTGTGATCAGACAAGTTATTATGATGACGGAACTTACGATGACAGGTTCAGGCAAATACTCTCAACTTGAGTTGGCTTGGTGGTTTTGGATGGCTAAGATCATCAGATTCTCTCCAATACTGGGCAAGCTGGATCCACTGAGGTTGTGAGATGTAGTTTGCAGACAATCTAGCAGCTGCCATATGCAGCCATTGACGCCCCAAGTCCATGACGAGGCTGTGTGCCCGTGCTGTCTGCGAACAAGACCTCTTTCAGGACTTCACGAAAACACTGCTGGTGAACCTGGCCAATCTGCAAACACACACACGCACACACACACACACACACACACACACACACACACACACACACACACACACGTTCATGCACGCACGCACGCATGCACGCACACACACACACACACACACACGCACACACACACATAGACACACACAATAAAGAGATTAGGATGCGCATCACATGCACACCGAATGGCCATGCCATACGACATTGTGTGGGTGAAACCCTCCAAGGTCCAGCCACACAAATCATGACAGTCCACACACACGCACGCACGCACACACACACACACACACACACACACACACACACATACACACACACACACACACACACACAAACACACAAGCACACACACACACACACACACACATACGCCTGAGTGTATTCAGTACTTTGTGGAGCATTTCCCTGTGTTGCGCACATGTTGCTTGTCAAGACTCAACAATAGCTGGAAAATGGATGCAAGCACATAGAGTAGTGTGTTCTGTCCCCATGAGTATGCAGAGGTGTGAGTTCACATACACACCGAGTGTATTTTAAGTTTTTAACACAACACGTGCAATGTGTGTGACGTGCAAACGAAGGAGAACCAAATCTAGCCTACAATTTACAACCTCAAATCATTCTGTACCATCAAGAGTGCATATTCCAATGGAGCCATCCGGCATTATCGATGATTTTCACAGAACAAAATCCCCCCCCCCCCCCCAAACGAAAAATAGATTGACTTGACAGCTAGAATAGATTGATTGATGTTTCGACTATCAATCTTTTTCAAAACGAAACTCTCCCAACACACACACCCATAAATGAAACTTTTTCGTTTTGTATAATGGAGAGATTATTATAGACGGCCCGGCCTAACGAAGAATGCAAGTCAGTGTTCCCGTGGCCCATGGCGGATTGTTTCCGAGGACCTCAGAATTTTGTGGCCATTCGGCTCATTGATCGAACATGCATCGACAGATCAAAATGCAAAGATCTTCTACATCTTGCATAAGGTAATTGAAGCCGAGCAACGGACGATAGATTCATGCGTCCTGAGTTTGACGAGCAAACACCATAATTATTATCATCAAGAGTACATAACAGCCCAGATTGTCCAACTCCAGTCCATGGGGTCTGCTCTGCAACGGCAGAGCATCACGTCACGTGACAAAAACCCGGATACAAAACTTGCACCCTGTGAATAGCTCCAGGGTTGTGCGCCACCCTACTCCCTCTTTACGGAGTGCAAGCCGCATCTCCCCCTCTTGACGGGGAGCAATCCACATCCCCCCCCCCCATTTGTACTTAGTCACTGCCAGAAACTGGTCACATAGGTCTCCCTGAGAGAGAGGAGAGAAATTCAAAGGGTGACTTGCAACTTCAGCGCGACCGTTTCAGCGCGATGCATTTCAGCTCCAGCACTTCAGTACCTGATTTCACAGCGCCAGCTTCTTCAGCGTCATGACTATCAGCGCAGTAAAGTGCAGCGCCAGCAACTCAGCGCGAAAAAGTAAGGCGTGATAATTTACAGCGCGATCAAGTAACAGCGCGATCAAGTACAGCGCAGCACACTGCAGTCAGTGGGTGAGGACAAGGTTCAGAAAAAACTGCTAACACTTCAGCGGGTTGCTAATCTAGAGTGGATACGCAAACCAAACACATACAGCACTCCCCCCTCCCCAAAAACACACGCACATACATTTGAGAGGATAGGAAAGGTCTTGAACATATGCAAGTTCAAATTTGTATATCCCCGAGCTGCAACCCCCTGCATCCCCCCCCCCCCCCCCATTCTTTACGGAGTGCAAGCCGCATCCCCCCCCCTTCTTTACGAAGTGAAAGCCACATCCCCCCTTTTTACGGAGTGCAAACCGCATCTCCCCTCCCCTCTTTACGGAGTGCAAGTCACATCTCCCTCCCCTTCTTTACGGGATGCAAGTCGCACCCCCCACCTCTTTACGGAGTGCAAGTCGCATCCCCCCCCCCCCCAACTTTACGGAGTGCAAGCCGCATATCCCCCTCTTTATAGAGTGCAAGCCGCATCCCCTCCCCTCTTTTCGGGGTGCAAGTCGCACCCCCCCCCCCCTTACGGAGTGAAAGCCACATTTCCCCCCTTTTACGGAGTGCAAACCGCATCTCCCCCCTCTTTGCGGAGTGCAAGCCGCATCTCTCCCCCCCCCCCCCTTACGGAGTGAAAGCCACATATCCCCCTTTTTACGGAGTGCAAACCGCATCTCTCCCCCCCCCCCCCCCCCCTCTTTGCGGAGTCAAGCCGTATCTCCCACCCCCTCTTTACACAGTGAAATCTGCATCTCCCAATTTTTACGGAGTGAAATCCACATCTCCCCCCTCTTTATGGGGTGCAAGCTGCATCTCCCCCCCCCCCCCTCTTTACGGAGTGCAAGCCGCATCCCCCCCCCCCTCTTAACGGACGGAGAGCCATATCCCCCCCTTTTTACGGAGTGCAAATCGTACCCCCCCCCCCTCCTATTTACGGGGTGAGAGCCGCATCTCCCCCGGCTCTATATGGGGTGTAAGCCACATCTCCTCCACCCCCACTTTTTACTTCCTCCCCCCTCTTTACGGGGTGCAGGTCGCATCCCCCATTACGGAGTGAAAGCCACATCTCCCCCTTTTTACGGAGTGCAAATCACCCCCCCCCCCCCTTCTTGCGGAGTGCAAGCAACATCTCTCCCCCCCCCCTCTTTATGGAGTGCAATCTCCCCCCTTTTTACAGAGTGAAAAATGCATCCCCCTCCCCCTCGCTCTTTACGGGATGCAAGGCGTATCTCCCCGTCCCCCCCCCCCCGCTCTTTAGGGGTGCAAGCCGTATCTCCCCTCTTTATGGAGTGCAAGCCGTCAAATCTGCACTAGCAGTAGCAACAACATTACCAGCAGAAGCAACAGCAGCAGAGTTTGATTGCTGTTCTCTTTTCCATCTTATGCTCTTCCTGCATTCATATACTTATTGGTTTGTGCTTTCATGAAAAACGTTTCGGCAGCAGCATCATCAGCAGCAGCGAATGTTGTTGAAACAACATTTGCATTTGAAGCATAACATGAGAAAGCGTTATTAACTTACCAGAGTAGATGGTCCTTGGCTTATAATGCCTGCCAATAGCAACTCATACTTCACATGAAGTAGACTCAGACTGAGTTACAGACAACCTAGCACAGGCGATATTCGTGAAGAAAAAGAAAATGTACATGTGCACACTTATATACATGCACCGTGACATATGAGAGGTGAAATGAAAAAGCCGACAGCCACACACATACAGACAAACAAAAACAGGTACACACCTTTGCTCACACACACACACATTACACGAGCATGCACGTACCACACACACACACACACACACACACATACACACATACACACACACGAAAACGCACACATATTTGTACTTAGTCACTGCCAGAAACATCCTTGTTTCATATTGACTTGGGAATGATCGCACATATGGGCTCACCACACTGCATGCAGTCAGTGGGTGAGGACAAGGTGCAGAAAAACTGCATTCTGTCCTGCCCCAGTGAAGTAACACTTCATATTAGAGCGGGTTGCTAACACATACAGTAAAGCCTGTAGTGGTGACCACTCGGATATGGTGACCACTCGGATATGGTGACCACTCGGATATGGTGACCACTCGGATAAGGTGACCACTCGGATAAGGTGACCACTCGGATATGGCGACCACTTTTCCTTGTCACAGACGCATTCACATTCAAAACAGCTCGGATGAGGCGACCACTCGCTCAACGCAACCGACGACCACCCACCGGCGACCGCGTTGCACAGTGCTAGCACATGTAAATGTATGCATTGCATGGTGCACCAAGCATAGTAGATCTACACAACAGTGCAGGAAGTGTAGATGTGCATGGTGCATGCACGACACTTGACAGGTCTGAGGGCCTAGGCATAATAATTATGAGTCGTGCGGTGCTAGAGTAGCATAGGTGTGTGCACTGTGATACACTGATCAAAATGACGTATCACATGTGGATATGGTCACGTGACCCACTGAACCTGGAGACCACGTGGCCACAGCGACCACTTTTTTCTCATCCCTTGAGTGGTCGCCTCAGACAGGTTTCACTGTACAGCACCCCCCCCCCCCCCCCATACCAAACACACACGCACACACATTTGAGAGTATATCAAAGGTCTTGAAAATATGCAAGTTGAAATTCGTATATCAAAAATCCGGATCAGCTTCCAGACATGCTGCTTTGTAGTGGATTTAAAAAATATACTATAGTAGAACTTTGAACTATTCGAAATCTCTTTTGGAGCAGCGGATACTCACTTGGTAGAATTTCCATTGGATCACAGAATGTAGCAGCTGGCAATACAGGAACAAGTATGGCTGTGAATATTGATATGAACGGCGCTTCTGGAGGTGAGGAGAACGTTTCCTGAGGTATGCCGGTGGATCTTCTGAAAGGAAGTAGAACCAAGCACAAGAAAGACCAAGGACACTGAAAAGCACTGTATTTACAGGGCGCAAGCCGCAGCCCCCCTCCCCCCCCCCTTCTTTATGGGGTGCAAGCCAAGAGGCCGTCAAAGTCTGACGTCACTGCTTCACCCCGAGCTTCAACCCCGCACCCCCCCCCCCCCTTGATGGAATGAAAGCCACATCTCCCCCCCCCCCCCTTCTTATAGAGTGCAGTCCACATCTCCCAGCTTTTTTACGGAGTGCAAGCCGCATCTCCCCCCCCCCCCCCCTCTTTACGCAGAGTAATCCACATCCCCCCCCCCCCCCCCCATTTGTACTTAGTCACTGCCAGAAGCTGGTCATAATAGTTCTCCCTGAGAGAGGGGAGAGAAATTCAAAGGGCGACTTGCCATTTCATCGCGACCGTTTCAGCGAGATACATTTCAGCGCCAGCACTTCAATACCTGATTTCACAGCGTCAGCTTCTTCAGCGTCATGACTATCAGCGCGGTAAAGTACAACGCCCGCAACTCAGCGCGAAAAAGTAAGGCATGGTAATTTACAGCGTGAAAAAGTACAGCGTGATACAGTACAGCGCGATCAGGTACAGCGCAGTACAGTTCAGCGTGATCAAGTACAGCGTGATACAGTACAGCGGAAAGTCAATACTTGTACAGTCATAGTCACAACAGACGATGTTCATACACACAGTCATTATAATAAATTGGCGCTGAGAAACATGGCACTTGGATCTGTACACAACCACCTATTTGCAAAATATATATTCGAAATTATATAATTGCAAGCTGACATAGTTCTGAAACGAATCGAACGAAATTCCGCATCATAGTCAGACTGGGCAAGCATTCACTCCACTCGATACAGCATAACCGATACAAGCAGTTTAGTCAGCATCTTACCTGCTTTCTTCAAAGCCAGTAGAGAACTAGTCCAAAGATATAAGGAGACCGTAGAATGGATACAAATGCACAGATAGTTCAGCATGAGGAGTTGTTTCTCCAGTCTAAGCACTTTACTTTCCACTCGTGAACAGACAGGAGAGGCCATACGCCAACTTCTTCATGCCAAAGACAGCCACAACAATATTCCCAAAATTAATAGAGTCGCGACGACGCAGGTACTGAAGCAGATAGTATCCTCAACCAGAATGCACGACCCAATGCCAAGGCTAATATTTTAATTTTTATAAAAAGACGTCCAATACAGTGCATGCAGACAAGCAAAAGTTTCGATTCAAAAACTTGAAAAGACCACACGTACATGCATATACACCACTTGTACACAGTCACATGACAGGTGTGAGGTGTCATGTACATGTACATACTACCAAGAGTACATGAAAACCAGAGTGTGCAGCTCGGATGGGTTGCTGTCACGGCGAAATTCCGTGATTACATCATTTTAGTGATGTAGTGCGTACAAGCAGGATTCAAGCAGGTCTCTTTCTGCACAACTGCAGCTCAGTTGTACGCACTACGCCATTTCCCGCCTCAGATTTCATGTACTCTTGATACTACATAGTCATTCGTGCATCCCGACTGAGTGATTCCCTCGGCCCTGCAGCTAGCCTGACATGACGTGACAGTCAGTGACGTGATCATGTTCAACCAGGCTGCACATACTGAGACAGTATGTTCGATCGTGTAGGCTTGAACAAGGAAAAAATATTTTATAAGCTATTGGCACTTTGGCAGTACATGAACATGTATTGCAAACAGCGTGCAACATGCGCGGCGGAACTTGCTCATCTGCTGTAGTTATGGCTGTGTTGATAACTAAACAGAGGCGAATGAAAGTATTTCAGTGCACAGATATTTAGTACTCTGAAGTACATTTTGTTTACATCAATTATTTTAATAAAGTAATTGTTTTCTGCTACGAAATTACCATCTGCTATGATGGCAGGTGCACCGGTGGTGAGATTATGTGTCCTCTGAATGAGGAGTCCAGTGAACCACTGTTCGTCAGTGGCTGCTTCAGTCACTATTGATACTGTGGGAAATGTTATGGTAAGACTTTCATTGACCAGTTGTGATTGCATTTTTGAACCAACACGTGTTACTTGAATTTAGGAGACGAAAGTTTAAAACACACAGTAGCAACATTGCTAAGTGTCATTGGTCAGTCAACTATCACCCCCACCCCGTCTATTGATATCACCAAGAGTGCATAAACAGTGTTTATGCACTCTTGATATCACCCTTCTGATTTTCTTCACTTCATTTCCTTTGTATCCACTGATGGGAAAGGGTCATATATATATTTCTGCTGCAGTGTACTTGCGATAAGGCACATGGTTCAGAGTATCAATTGCTACAGCTACTTGTGTATAGTTTTATCAAGGAGTCGTAGCATACATACACAGGGAGACAATACAGGATCAAAGTACCCAAAACGATGCGTGTTTCGACCCTGGATTTGGAAGTTTTACGTGATCCCTGGCCTAGGCAACTCGCGCTTACGATCACGATCTTGACCTGCTGACCCCAAGCTTGGCCCAGACGAGCAATGTCATATGCATGGGGCAAATCCAGGAGGCGAAGGGAGCGGGGTGAACACTTAAATTTCGCAAATGCACCACTGGAAACCATATGCATGTACCCGTACATGTATCAGCAGTTCTTGGGTACGTAGATCGTGTAGACTGCTTACACCACTTTGCACTACTCATACACTCACTGTAGAATCTATAAAATGTACATTCCATCCTGGAACTAAAATCTCTACAATGTAGCTGTGTGTGATTAAACTTTAGACACTCATTATTTACATGATGTATTAGTGTGAGAGAGTTGAAGAACAGGGAGGTAAACAGGTGAACATAACAAAAGAGACGCAACCTAAGTGCGCATGATTGACGTACCATAGAAAGAGGGAAAGCCACTCTTGTCGAAATTGGCGGAAACATGGTAGGAGATTTCTGCAGAGTCAAGAAAACATGAATTAATGTGTCAGATCCTGTGCACTTGTGCACTTGATCATACCTCTGCCAATAAATAATTCCACTGTCGTTATGTCCATTGTACCTCAAGATAGGAGTCGCACACTCTTGGGTAAATCCCATGTGTTTTTGCACTTTGTTTCACGTTTAGCGTTAGTCCAAGCTGTTCTAGGGCATAGTGTGCAAGTGTGAACATGGTGGAATGATTTGATTTTCAGTCTGCTCATGCCATCATGGGGCACACTGTAGTCTAGATGTCTCTGTAGTTTGTAAACTGCAATTCTGCAATTCTGGCTATATGATGGTAGCTTTATGCGTAACGCTCAGTATTTCAGCTACGTAGACTTGAAGTCACAGGAGATCCCGTGCATGTGGTTTGACTACTTGTACCACTGACAGTCTGTTGTACCGAAACTAGTACAAACTGCTACAGTCAAGCCAGTGTCAGGCTGTCAGTTTACCGGATGTCCCTGGTGCAACGGAATCCATGCCATTATGACATGATACCACTTCATACAGGGAGGCATTCACGACCCGCAATATGTATGTCAAATTGATCAGTATGACATTATCTTTGGTTCTACGCCTCAACCTTTTCTTTCTGTACCTGAACAGACACACACACACACACACACACACACACACACACACACACACACACACACGCGCACACACACACACACACTCATGTTCGCTCTTCTAGGTACATGTGTGCAATGTAGATCTATCACAATTGACAAGATTTGTCGGTGCATCTCGCTTTTACATGTACTCCTGTGCTGCGTGCAGACCATGCTGTGAACTAGGGTTATAGCGCGACCTGCAAAAAGCTTCCACACATGTGAAAGTCCACACGGTACTGTATTGAGCTCGCTTTGGACAGGTAAAACCAAGAGTACATAATATGTACTCTTGGTAAAACTGGACCCTGTGTACGGAACCTGTTCGGCGTGTTGCGGCGAGTTTTCTATGGCTTGGGGCATGACCGATTGGATGAATCCCGAGCAAATTCGTTCCAAACGAGCGCGATCGGTTGGCCAAATCTGGAGTAGGTGTACTTGGAGTGCAATCCGAACACACCAGGTTTGGCTGGAGTTGAAATGGACTTTTGTTTTTTGACGGCTTTCACAGAATCTTCGTATGATATGTGTACCTTGTACGTACTACACCATTCCTTTGTTCGATTGGGCCAGTGTTGCTCCGACCACACTGCCTGCTTGCACTGAAACCAGATTTGCCAATCGATGACACCCAGGTGAAGGTTCTAGTAAACCCACGAGTCACTTCAAAAGTACACGCAGGGCATTGCATAGCCCTGTAGACCTGCAATGACCATGACTGGGCTGCGAAATAAGGCAAGGCGCAAACTTTCCTCACGTGATCTGGGTCAATTGAGCAGCACTATAATTGAAGCGGGGACGCATACACTAGAAGTCACGTGGAATGTGTACTGAGAATTTCCCCTTCCATATTTGGCAGTTTTCTGCATGCAGTTGATCGATACCCAGCAAATCCGTACGCATTTTCTCTGCGTGTGCCTCAACGTAGAGAACCCCATCTCCGCGTAGAAATCTGGAGCCAAAACACGCGAAGCCGTAGACTCTAACCCAGACACCTGCTCTCTACGTGATTTCTCTACGTTTCACGTATAGCAGAACCTCCCTATTGAACCAGCACGGCACCAAGACTGGTCAATACAAACTGCACCAGCCTCAGAAACAGGAATGCCATTCCATCCAACTATCTCCTTTCTTTGATCATCTCTCTAAACGGAAGCATGGAGTTGTAGTCCATGCGGTAGGTAGGCCCCGAGGCCCTGCACAATACAATGCCCGGAAGCTTTGTATTTTCCAACCAGCAAAGAGGCACATTCGCTGCCCCCCCCCCCCACACACATACTTCGAAGTACACTTTACTGCTTCAACTTGACCTTCACGATCCAGTAGTGCGGTTGAAGCATGCATACGTTATAAACTGGACATACAGCGGTTACGCTGTCACACCCAATCACCCTGCTCCCCAAGCCTTATAATCAGTGTTGTAAACTGCCGAGTGGTTTACAATAGGGGAAGCATACACGTTACGCTCCTTGCAAGCCCATGGGGTACAAGCAGCCATGCTGGCAACCGTGAGTTTCATGCGGGGAGCATCTCCTCAGCACACACACACATACGCACAAGCACACTGCTATGACATAACGACCATGACACACACACACACACACACACACGCTTACTTGTACTTGTTGCACACTGCCAAAACTGGTCACGTGGGTCTCCCCGGGAGAGGGGAGAGAGACTCAAAAGGAATCTTGGAAAGATGACTCAATTGGCTATTGAACCGCCCAACGGCCGACACCCCCTGAAATCCCCAAAACTCTGGGTGGACTTGAAAATGATCCCACTTATGGGCTCACCACACCTCAGTAAGTGGGTGAGGACAAGGTGCAGAAAAAGGATTGACGGCATCAGGGTATCCGTCCTGGGATCCAACTGCAGTTACCCCTGCCCCCAGTGAAGGTAATACGTGCTACTAGTGTGGGTGGCTAAATCAGAGTGGATCTGATATTAGCTTCACTAGCACCATTGATTACACAAGAGTTAATCTAGCCAGAAGCAGTCCATGGTTAACAGGTATGTATACTTCAAATAGAAAGTATATGAACCCTGGAACCAACAAAGGTGGCAGGTACAACATTACACCTTCAAGTAGCCGAGACCGTTGGCAACAGACCCAACACAATCAGGCATAAGTGTACCCACCAACCTAACTAGCTGGCACACACACACATGATAGCAGCAGCGAGCGGCAACACGCGGCAACAAGCAGAACACTCGAATAGTTATTTTTTCAGACACATGCAAAATTGAATGTTGACCGTTGATGTCCACTGCATCACTGTAGCTGTTTGCAGCAGCAATAGTGCACATTCGGGTCAGTCCGATGCACGTCTGAAGGCAGAGGAAAATATCACACACATACAGTAGAACATCGAATATCCGCACATCCACTATCCGGAAGATCTATTATCCATAATGGCCGGGACCTCCAAAAAATAGAAACAATAAAAAGAGACGCACAACGCAAAACTTGAGTTCACCAGTGCAGTCGTATAGTCTGTAGATATACTGTAAAAGCCTTATATAACGACGTGCTAATTCTAACGAGTTAATGAGGAGAAATCTGTCGTTAAAATAGAAAACGTTACACAGAAATCGATACATATTGTTGCTATTGAGCGTTGAGAATGAGTGAGAATCGTTACGTTTGGTACACGTAAACCCATCAATTTTAGTAAATCGTTATGCAGCGCGTTAGAATAATGGCTTTTACAGTACCAGGTACGTGTTTGCTGCTAGCATGCCCATCGTCAATGCATGGTAGAACTAGTCTTATGCGCAATTTCAATGACGGAACTGGATCACATGCGTTTATGAGCCCTATGCTACAAACTTTTCTGTCGCTTTCTCATTATCCGAACATTCCCCCATCCGAGCAGCCCCTTCTGAACAGTATGTTCCCCGAAAGGTTGGGATATGATCAATCACACCGCTCTACCTCACAGTGTGAATTCCGAGCAATATGTTCTTGCAGCTTAGCATCCCCGACCCTGCTAAACCATAAAGTACAGTCAACCAATCACCATGCCTGGCGTGTTGCCTCCTCTTTTACACAAAGTTTAAAGGGGGTGTGGGTTGGTACGGTGTACACCACAATCAAATGCAAAAGACTGCCGCCACTGTCACCTGTAACCATACTGGACTGACTGCGTACACTTCCATCCACCAGAATGTCTCAACTGGCTAGCATGTGTTGTGTGCAGAAATGCATGTATTGGCATGATCTCATATTTCGGCATGTACACTTATGGTGCTTCACAGATAGAACAGATAGGTGGTACATTTTGTTATCTATACAAAGAAGTACTTCCTCCGCGTCATCGAACTTGTTGCAGTTGGACTAGTGATACAAAACAGTGATATAAAACAGTGATATAAAACAGGGTACCGGTATTACAAACCAGCAGTCGTACAACAGGTAAGGAATTGGACATGGATGATAGTCTTCAGTCTGGGGTGACCTGACAATTCTTTTTCCTGTGGATGGGAGCTGAAATATTTGAGCTAGACACCATTTCCTCGCTGATGTCGCTGCGAAGGTAGTTTCGACTAGCTGTGATCAGTCAGGCGTAACCACCTTCGCCTTTCTTTTAGTGGTGAAACGAATATTCGAATATTCGAACATTCGTTCGGTTTGTCACATTCGAATATTCGTTAAGTCACATTCGAGTATTCGTTACGTCACTTCGAATGCAGTGCCTGTACATACATGGACGCCGAACACAGTACAGTGCAGTGCGTACAGCCTGCCTGTGACTTTGTACTGCATGTTTGCACATGTATGTGCATGCTGGACTGCCAATGTTGCACATAAGTTCAAAAAAACATTTATGAACTTCGAAGTAGCCTTATGTGGCAGTATATTTTACGTGGCACTACCGTTTGTCATACCTAATAATATATTAGTATTGACAATATCCATCAAATGACTGAGAGGAGGGCATGTGATGTCATCTGTGTTACCAAAAGAATATTCGTTCATTCGTTCGTTATGCTGAAGAATATTCGACTAGTAGGTTTTGACATTCGTTTCACCACTACTTTCTTTGGGTCATAACCAACACTAAACATACCCATAGCTGTTATTTGGCGGAGCAGGGGTAAGCATGAGTTTGCCGAACAAGCTCCAGCGCTTGGATCACTTTGCGAGAAAATTGACGTGTGAGCAAAAAAGCATAGAAGAGTGATAAATCTTGGAGTCACATGTAGTGATGCACGTGCAGGCACTGTACTAGTGATACTGAAAAGAGGGCATGCTCGACGTGATCGGCTAAACTACAATGTGGTGTTTTAGACGTGGATGTGAGGCATGCCTGATGCTGGCTAGTACTGCTGCACACTTACCTGCATGACGTTGCGCGACCACACAGTTAAAATCAATGATGGGCATTGGGCATGCCATGGCTAAAAAAGTTCATTTCAAGATGGAGGCGATTCCGAAGCCAGCGCCGACCTCGCAACAATCTTGTATTCTTTGCCTACGTACTGAGTTGGTGGTGAAGTAGAATGCCAAGAACATCGTCAAGGCTATAGAGTGCCTGAGAATTTTTATCAAGCAGAATGCATGGAATAGGAAATCGCTTGGCGACTTCGGTGGGTTCGCTCAAGGAAATCGGATTATCCTTTTGGACGATGGTAGAAACAACTATTCCCACCACAGCTGAACTGCCCATGATATATCAGCCAGGGCAGGCGGCAAACCTATCACCTCTTGTACTGTGGAGAAATTCAAAGCGTGTGAGACTAGGCGCGACCAAGTTACAGCCTTCCTGGAAACTCTACGGAACAATATTATTTCGTCCATTGACATCAGCGATGGCCTTCAGGTCCATGTGAAACTCTCAATCCGACTGAATATAGTCCTGAGACGTTACTCTAGACTTCAAACTATCATCCTGTGCAATACTTTCCGTATGTTGTAGCTTCTGTTGTTATCAGTAACACCAAGAGTAGATACACAAAAGTGTGCAACTCCGGGATGGGTTGGCCCGCAGCGGAATATTTTGTTGACGTAATCTTTTCGACGATGCACGCGCTGCGAGTCTTTTGGAAAGTTTTGCCCCGTGCACTTGGCCGGGCTTTACATTACAAAGTCAGTGCCCAGCACGTGCTCTCACACTGCTCTGGGGCAAAATGCGTGTTCTTCTGAAAAAAGGTGACGTCAACAAAAATTTCCGGTGGTATCTGCAGATTGTGCACAAGATCCGGAGTTGCACACTCTTGTTTATCTACTCTTGGTAACACGTGACAAGTCACTTGTCAAACTGTGACAATTTCGATGACGAGGAGGAAGTATGTGGAGGAAAATACAGAACGGCATATACAAGAAATCGAGGAATAATGACATGCGCTGGGCTCCCACAGAATGAAATGGCTGCGTTATCCCCAGGAACCTCGTTTGAAGCACCATTCATAGTATCACTTTTTGTGATGCGACGTGTGGCATGTGATACTTGCGGCAAGGAAATGCCTGTTGCATATAGTCGCATGCAGTCGCGAGGCCACTGCCGCAGAAGTTGACCACACCTGTCCGAATCACCGGGTCTGGAGTCACAAGGCTAATCAACCGTTCACATTGTCAAGCATTTCAGGTCCCACACTTCCTTCGAAAAAGTGAAGTTGAATGCAAGACTGATTCTTTGTTTTATCACCTGTACGTCTATATGGAAGGGTCATTTGAACACTTTACAAGACTCACCCCATAACAAAAATGTTCTGTCCACCAATCAATGCCAATCCGCTCACACCTGCTTGCCGGTCCACATCAAAATGTATAGAGGATACTACATAGCCATGAGTAACAAAGTACATCTGTACAGGATAGAGAGCGTGCACGAAAGAAAGGAAAGAACATCATGGTCACGAGACAAACAACCTAACACACGCAACATAAACGCAGAAATGTTGGGAACAAGAGACGTTAGAAGCAAACATCTTACGGGTGTGATTCAACAGCAGTGCTGTGAATATGATCCTACAACATACAAAACTGTTGAGCATACCAGAGGCGACCTGGGCAAGGAATGTTCAGTGCAAATCCAACCACCAGCTGGCAAGCAAAACCGGCCCGAATCACCGGGTATGGAGTCACAACGCTACCCAACCGTTCACATTGTCAAGCATTTTAGGTCCCCATACTTCCTTCGAAGGAGTGAGGTTGAATGCCGGACTGGTTCTTTGTTTCATCACCAAGCAACACCTGCCCAAATTACCAGGTACGGCAAACGCTCATCTCGTCAAGCATTTCAGGCCCTCACATTTGCAAAAAAGAAGGGAATTTGAATGCATGACTGCTTCATCGCTCATAGCTTAGCAACACCTGCCTGAGTTATAGGCTGTCCAACCGTTGACAATGTCAAGCATTTCAGGTCCCCACACTTCCCTTGAAGGAGTGAGGTTGAATGCAAAAGTCATTGATCATTCACCACCAAGCAACACCTGCCCGAATCACCAGGTATGGAGTCACCAGGCTGCCCCGCCGTTCACATTATTAAGCAACACCTGTCCCAACAAATCCCTTGAGGGAGTGAGGTTGAATGTAAGACTGATAAATCATTCACAACCAAGCAACACCTGTCCAAATCACCGGCTGTGGTGTCACACTGCCACCCAAACGTTCACAATGTCAAGCATATCAGGTCCCCACACTTCCCTTGAAGAAGTGAGGTTGAATACAAGACTGGTTGATCATTCAACACCCAGAAACCCCTGCCTGAATCACCGGGTATGGAGTGAAAAACTGCCCATCCGTTCTCATTGTCCGCAAGTTCACTAACCTCACATCCTCAGACATCTGTATGCAATGTTATTTACAAAGCTGAACAGCAGTTCAAAGTCAATTGCATCGTCATCATTGACTGTGAGGCAACACACAGCCCACAAGAGTTGGAGTTGAGGGATATCCAGCTTTATAGTCATACACTATCGAACCGGATCAGCAATGGTGATGTCACAAGCCTACGTACGCATCAACTTCAGCAAGAATTTCCAAGTCCAGACATGTCCCTTCAAGGACAAACTATGAACGAAAGTCTTGTTCATCGCTCTTCGACCAGCCACACCTGCCCGAATCACCGGGTCTGGAGTCACAAGGCTAACCAACCGTTGACATTGTCAAGCATTTCAGGTCCCACACTTCCTTTGAAAGAGTGAAGTTGAATGCAAGACTGATTCTTTGTTTTATCACCAAGCACCACCTGCCCGAATCACCGGGTATGGAGTCACAAGGCCACCCAAACGTTCACAATGTCAAGCATGTCAGGTCCTCATATTTGCAACAAAGGAGTGACTTTGAATGCAAGACCGAATCGCCTTTCATCCTCAAGCTACACCTGCCCGAATCATAGCCTGCCTAACCGTTCACATTGCCAAGCATTTCAGGTCCCCACACTTCCCTTGAAGGAGTGAGGTTGAATGCAAAGGTGATTGATCATTCACCACCAAGCAACACCAGGCGGAATCATAGCCTGCTCAACCGTCCACAATGTCAAGCATTTCAGATCCCAACACTTCCCATAGAGTGAGGTTGAATGCAAGACTGATATCTCTTTCACTGCCACAAAACACACATCCCGAATCACCGGGCATGGAGTCGCTTGACAGAACCACATTATCAACCATTATCAGAGCCCCACACTTCCCTTGAAGGAGTGAGGTTGAATTAAAGACTGACTCATCTTTCACTGCCAAGCAACACACATGCCGAATCACCTGGTATGGAGTCACAAAGCTGCCCCACGTTATCAAGCATAGTCAGAGCCCCACACTTCCCTTGAAGGAGTGAGGTTGAATGCAAGAATGACTTATGGTTCACTGCCAAGCAACACACATCCCAAATCACCGAGTATGGAGTCACAAGGCTGCCTCACTTTATTAAGTATAATAAGAGCCCCACACTTCCCTTGAAGGAGTGAGGTTGAATTAAAGCCTGACTCATCTTTCACTGCCAAGCAACACACATCCCGAATCACCGGGTATGGAGTCACAAGGCTGCCCCACGTTATCAAGCATAATCAGAGCCCCACACTTCCCTTGAAGGAGTGAGGTTGAATGCAAGACTTGACTCATTCACTCGTTCACTGCAAAGCAACACACATGCCGAATCACCGGGTGTGGAGTCACAAAGCTGCCCCACATTATCAAGCATAATCAGATCCCACACTTCCCTTGAAGGAGTGAGGTTGAATGCAAGAATGACTTATGGTTCACTGCCAAGGAACGCCCATTCCGAATCACCGGGTATGGAGTCACAAGGTTGCCCCACGTTATCAAGCATAATCAGAGCCCCATACTTCCCTTGAAGGAGTGAGGTTGAATGCAAGACTGACTCATTCACCCGTTCACTGCCAAGCAACACACATGCCGAATCACCGGGTATGGAGTCACAAGGCTGGCTCACCGGGTATGGAGTCACAAGGCTGGTACACATTATCAAGCATAATCAGAACCTCACACTTCCCTTGAAGGAGTGAGGTTGAATGCAAGAATGACTTATGGTTCACTGCCAAGCAACACACATTCCGAATCACCTGGTATGGAGTCACAAGGTTGCCCCACGTAGCCAAGCATAATCACAGCCCCACACTTCCCTTGAAGGAGTGAGGTTGAATGCAAGACTGACTCATTCATTCGTTCACTGCCAAGCAACATACGTCCCGAATCACCAGGTATGGAGTCACACGGCTGCCCCACATTATCAAGCATAATCAGAGGCCTACACCTTCCTTGGAGGAGTGAGGTTGAATGCCAGACTGATTCATCGCTCATCGCCAAGCAACACCTGCCCATATCATCGCCAGGCCAACCGTTCACAATAAAGTATTTCAGGTCCCACTCTTTCCTTTACGGAGTGAGGTTGAATGCATGACTGACAGATGATTCAGCACCAAGTAACAACTGCCCGAATCACCGGGTATGATGGAGTTACAAAGTGGACAACCGTTCACATCGTCAAGCATTTCAAGTCCCTTTTGCTCCCCTGAAGGATTGACGTTGAATGCAAGACTGATTCTTTGTTCATCAAGTAACTCGGTAACTCATGCCCGAAGAACCAGGTATGGGATCACACTGCCACCCTAACATCCTAACCACAATGTCAAGCATTTCAGGTCCTCGCACTTGCAACAAAGGGGTGAGTTTGATTGCAAGACTGTTTCATTTCTCATCGCCAAGCAATACCTGCTCGAATAGAAGCCCGCCCATCCGTTCACATATTCAAGCATTTAAGTTCCCCAACCCTCCCTTGAAGGAGTGAGGTGGAATGCATGACTGACTCATTCACTCGTTCACTGCCAAGCCACACACATGCCGAATCACCGGGTATGGAGTTACAAGGCTGCCCCACATTATCAAGCATAATCAGAGCCCCACACTTCCCTTGAAGGAGTGAGGTTGAATGCAGGAATGCCTCACGGCTCACTGCCAAGCAACACACATCCCGAATCAACGGGTATGGATTCACAAGGCTGCCCCACATTATCAAGCATAATCAGAGCCCCACACTTCCCTTGAACGAGGTAGGTTGAATGCAAGCCTGACTCGTCACTCACTGCCAAGCAACACACATCCCGAATCACCGGGTATGGAGTCACAAGGCTGCCCCACATGATCAAGCATAATCAGAGCCCCACACTTCCCTTGAAGGAGTGAGGTTGAATGCAAGACTGACTCATTCACTCGTCCATTGCCAAGCAACACACATGCCGAATCACCGGGTATGGAGTCACGAGGCTGCCCCACATTATCAAGCATAATCAGACCCCACACTTCCCTTGAAGGAGTGAGGTTGAATGCAAGAATGACTCATGGTTCACTGCCAAACAACACACATGCCAAATCACCGGTATGGAGTCACAAGTTTGCCCCACATGAGCAAGCATATTCAGAGCCCCACACTTCCCTTGAAGGAGTGAGGTTGGATGCAAGAATGACTCGCGGTTCACTGCCAAGCAACACACATCCCGAACCACCGGGTATGGAGTCACAAGGTTGCCCCACATTATCAAGCATAATCAGAGCCCCATACTTCCCTTGAAGGAGTGGGGTTGGATGCACGAATGACTCACGGTTCACTGCAAAGCAACACACATCCCGAATCACCGGGTATGCAGTAAGAAGGCTGACCCATGTTATCAGGCATATCAGAGTCCCACACTTTCCTTGCAGGAGTGAGGTTGAATGCAAGCCTGACTCGTCATTCACTGCAAAGCCACACACATCCCGAATCACCGGGTATGGAGTCACGAGACTGCCCCACAATATCAAGCATAATCAGAGCCCCACACTTCTCTTGAAGGAGTGAGGTTGAATGCAAGATTGACTCACTTACTTGTTCGCTGCCAAGCCACACATATCCCAAACCACCGGTTATGGAGTCAAAAAGTTGCCCCACGTTATCAAGCTTATCAGAGCCTCACACTTCCCTTGAAGGAGTGAGGTTGAATGCAAGACTGACTCGTCACTCACTGCCAAGCAACACACATCCCGAATCACCGGGCACGGAGTCGCTTGGCAGAACCACATTATCAAGCAGTATCAGAGCCCCACACTTCCATCGAAGGAGTGAGGTTGAATGCAAGACTGATTCATGGGTCAATGCCAAGCAACGCACATCCCGAATCACCGGGTATGGAATCACATGGTTGCTCCACATGATCAAGCAAAATCAGAGCCCCACACTTCCCTTGAAGGAGTGAGTTTTATTGCAAGAATGACTCACAGTTCACTGCCAAGCAAGACACATCCCGAATCACCGGTTGTGGATTCACAAGGCTGCCCCACATTATCAAGCATAATCAGAGCCCCACACTTCC